GCTTCTTGCGAAAATAAAATACAAATATAAGAAAAATGTGGTAAATAATAATTTGTTTATTAAACCATCGGGGTTTATTTTATAATGATATTTAAATCCTCGAATATGATTAAATACAGCTTAGACATTTGGAAAAATTTCTAACCTTCAAATTTAGAAATTTTCTAAAAATTTCTTTCAAATATAGAAATTTAGAAATTTTAGATATTTCAGATATATTAGGTATTTTAAAATTTGAGTCCAGTAGTTTGGCAATTTTAAAATTTGAAAAATTATGAATATTTTATAGTGTCATACAAGTCTTACAAATGGTATCTCAAAACAATAAACTTACATTGCACAAAATGAATTGAGTACTATGTAACTCGATATAAGGCTTTAACGCAACTCGAAAGTGAAGCACATCCCTTGCACTTTTGTAACCAATCCCACGGGAAGAATCAATTATTTCTCACGATCTCGAAGGGCACAGGGTCTTGAAGTCCTTTAATTCCAGAGCCTCTCGTTATCCCCGAGATTTCCCGAGCGATACACGGCTGGATAATAACGGCGGAAAGATACGTCCGGATTAAATGAACCGACGACAAGGAAAATCCTCGTAATTCTTCGCGGAAAAACTAACAGAAAAAGATTCATATCGTCGCATTAAATGCATGTAACAGCGCTAAATACTCAGAATACATTATTATGCAGGTTTAAATCAGTAATTAATTAAATTAGGAAAGCACGACTCGTTTTGTGCTTATAACTCAATACAGTACAAATAAGAAAAAGTGAATAAAACGAATACAAATTTTATCCGTTAACGGATCAAATTTAATTACTTTTTGTGAAACAAATTGAAAACTCTGGGAAAGTTAGCCAAAAAATTCAATTAAATTTTTTATCGATATCAATATTGATTTCAGAAAATTAAATAATAATTTTGGTACCAAAACAGTTTTCTGCCAATATGATTTTGTGGATATGAAATAATTACACATTTAATGTAAAATATCAAATTTTATTAATTTGTTAATAAAATAATTAAAGTAATTATTAAAATAATTTCACATTTTATTCATTCGTTTTTAAATTCGTGAACAATAAATAATTTCAATATTTCAAAATTATTCTAAAAACAACATCATACTAAAATATAATCGTCTTTAAATTCAGATTCTAAATATTTTATTTCTCCACTCCCCAAAATTTTTATAAACCATTTAAAATACAGAAATCAGAACTTTCGGAGGTATTTCAAAATACTGTTGACAAGTAGTTAAATATGAATGCTTTAAGTAGACTACAAACTCCAAACTGTTCAAACTTCAACCGCTCGATCCCTCCAATAATCTACTTTCCCAAAAGTAGACCTTGTTGGCACAAGTATTTTTTTAATTATGAAATCAAATATTGATGTTTTAAACATCAACTTCAGTCCGATTTATAGCAGAAGAACTTTCCCAAAATTTAAATAATGACCCAACTCTTTTTAGTAACTCAAAGGATTAATTAAATAGATGACGTGCGTTTTATAAAAATTGTAATTGTAATTTTCTAAAAATTGATTATGGTGATGAAAATAAAAGCAAAGGTCAACTTTTGAAGATTTTTTGCCTGAGCTTAGAATGAAAATTAAAAACATAACTTTTATGAATTTTGTTATTCTGTGCATCCTGAATGCACTGTATCTGAAGTTAACAGACAAATCTTGTCTGCTAATTTTCCTTTCAACTGCCAGTTTACTAGACATAATTAAAATTAGTCACGACACTTGGATACTAGTTTCCCCAATATAGTGATGTTAAAATGAGTTTAAAAAATAGAGCAACTTTTATTTGTACAGTTTTTAACTTTTATATGCAGAATTTTCACGCAATTGCCTCCCCTTTTTTGCTAAATTATTTTACTAATTTAACTATTTATTTTACTAAATGAAATAATAAAATTATTTCACTAAAAGTAAATGTTTTACAAAATTCGCTAAATTTGAGTAAATTAACTTTTACTAAAATTACCTTTCTTAGCGATCAGCAAAAAAATCATTGAAAATCACTTGTACAAATACGAAACATTTATTCGCTACAAATATGAAATATTTATTTTTCCAAAGAATATGAGACGTTCGAGAGATTATTAATGAAAGGAAAAGCAGACTGCAATCGAACGTGAAGGTAAATGAGTATGAAAATCCAAAATCAGTTGCGATGTAAGTGCGGAAGCGACTGAAAGAGTGAAAGTGCAAATTACAGTATTCGTTGTTACGGTCAAACGCTAGTAAAGAGAGGCACGTGAATCGGATAGAACGCGAGTGGATGGAGATTAATTCCAGTGCTAATTTAGCGGCGGCTAGTAAGCGTTCTGTCTGAAGCAGCCCCGTGGGTACGCTGCCACAAGCTTAACTCTCAGCCACAAATGAAACTCGAGCTACGCGACGACTCGTTTCCATCTGCCTTTTATTTCGACCGTTCTTGCGTTCGGGATACTACCAGCAGAAAGAAAACAAGAAAAGCCACCGAACAGAAAGAGCCAACCGGTGGCTAGCAAAATTATCCATAAAACGGCGTGACTTTTAACGCGATTCTGCGCGAAACCGCAGAACAAAAGAAAAAGAAATCTCCATTCGTTCTCCTTTTGCAGTTACTAGACCACAAATGCAGTTGGAAACGTGTACAGCGTGGAACAATAAGAACTATTATTCCAATTTTTAGGCGAGTCATCTTACATTTGAGGAGACTCATCAGACTGACGTAATTTAGTCTTTTTGTATTTGAAATATCAACATGGCTACGACTGTATTGTTTCAGCTCCTTCGATGCATCTCTTCTTTAACACTATATCTACCGACATATAATCTGTACTTAATTTGAAATTAAAAATGAAGTTAAGAAATAAATAAGCAAACAAGGAAACATAAATTAATACACACATTTATTCTTTATCTTGATTAAAATCAATGCTGATTTCTAGGAATGTACCTTAACAAAATGTGTATCTTATAATAAGAAACTTGTGGAGCGATCATTTGACCGGTTTGGTAGTTATAGTGTTAATGGCAGTTGAAAAGATGAATTCAACGATCTATCATATAATAAGATTGAATTCTTAACCTGAGGATTTGGATTTGGGAGTTTGAAATTTTGAGAAGTTGGGAATTAAGAAATTTGGTAACTTGAAAATTTAAATATTGAGGCCTTTGAAAAGATTAACATATTAAAATTTGAAAGGGTCTAGCTAAATAAGATAGTCAAAAATACCCTTAAGCAAAATGAAACACCCAATACGTCAGTCGACAACATATCAAAAAAAAATATCTTACACCTCCCATCTGATCTGTGGGGGTAGTAAAAGGACGAAACCGAAATTCCGGTGTTTTAACTACTTCTGTTATTTACTTGCATAAAAAATTCTGAAATATTGAGGTCCACGTAGCACACATTATAGAATTTGTTCAGCTTTTTTGGTTGCGAACTGCAGTTGTAAAAAATGAAAAACCACAAAAAAATACAATTTTTTTATTGAAAATGTCGGAGCATCACTTTTGTAGGAATGTGGTAGTTACATATTGGCACAACTATTATTTTTTCAGATTTTTCGGCGAGGTACGCCGCAGTTAAAAAAAATCAAAAACCTCTAAAAAAAAAATACTTCCCGCTTCGAAATTGTATGTCTTTTTTTCAGTATATCTATTAGGTTATGTTACATAGATTCACGTTTATAATTGATACAAATGTTAGTTAAAGAAATAAAATTTAATTATTAATTTCTGTGTCGCAATTCGTTATATTCTGGAATGTAAAACGCTATTGCAACGTTATTATTAAAGATGTTAAAAGTCAGTTCTTTTCATATTATATTTTCAATTTTTTTTTTTCTTTTTTTCTGTAATAATTGTAATGTAGACTCAAAGTGTTTTTGCATAATTGTTATTCATTTTTGCATTCGCTGGGTAAAAGAAGTATAATAGTATATATAATACTATTTCTTTTTTTCCAGCAAATGTAAAAATGCGTAATAATTATTAACTGAACAGTATAGTATTAAAAGCCCGCCATACAATCCCGTCATGTGCTGCCACCGTCCGAAAAGCTTCAAACTAGGTACTGCTTGTTATCAGACGATATCTATCTCATAATTTAAAAGAAATGAAAGAATTAAAGTTACTTAGAATGTATTCGAAAAACGCATTGGATAAATAAATTTATTTTTAATTATTGCATAGTAAAGTGTTTGTATCTGTAAATGAAATTATAATGAATCTTCTAACAGTTGTTTTGGTTTACTTTTGTTAACCTATCAATTTTCGAGTATGTTTTTTCTTTGACAAAATACTAACGCAAAATAAAGACATTATAAAAGTAAACTTTGTATTGAAAGAGTAACTAAATGTAAATTGGAAATGTTATCATAAATATATACATTAATATTAATACAAGTTTTCTACTCAATGAACTGTTTTACTATTTACAACGAACACGTTGCGCAAACGTTGCTATTCAAACATAAAAACGCATTTTCTGTTGTATTTGTCTCTTAGATATGTGTACGTGTATATGCAAGAATGCCACAAGAATGTATTTAATTAACAAGCTGAAAAGAATTTATGTATAAAATTACAGAAACTGATAAATAAATCTAGATAACGGTACATATAACAATGAATGCACGTTCATGATGCAGATCATGAATTATGTGCCTTGAAGAATTTCAACCTCGCGGTAATACGGTCTCTGCAATACCAATTCAACACTTGCAATTTTGCATATCCTCTTGAAGACAATTTCTCAAATAAATTGCCTTTTCATGAATAACACTTTCACCTAAAAGAATGTGCATAATGTGAGTTGCAATTTACAATAATTACGCGATAACATTTCAGTTATATTTGCTTCAAAATATCTTCGATATAAAATTCTATTTTTCTATAGACAATTTTGACACGAGATGGCAGCTAAGTTGCTTCATGCGACATGTTGCTCAATTGCAATTCTCTGCACGCGATATTCTGTGATTAAACCAAGCCGTGAGGAGAAGCCATGTTTATACCGTAGGTGTTTTAGTGCGGGTATACGTGTTATCCATTATTTTCAAATAGTAACGTTTAATTATTTATTTACACGATACACGGTGGTGAAAAGTGTCCTATGTGTGAAATCTTCTTTCCGTTAATATTGTGGACAACTCGTTTTTGTCAGGGAGTACACGGGATAATCTGGTAGACTCGAACAATTCTATGACTTATGGACCTTCGTTTTTCGGGATCCTTTTGCTACCTCATAAATTGTTTACAAGTTGCTCGGGCTGCTTTGCGAACAAACAGTGCCCTCAGAACGTACTGCTCACGCTAGGAGTACAATTTCCTTTTCAGGAATCGTCCGCGTACATTGGATAGACGTGATGCATCTTTAGCACAAGCATTTGCGCGTTTTATAACCTGACAACACGTCCGAAGTTTCTCTATCTCTATCATGTCATTGCATCTTTGACAAAGTATTAAGCGGTAAGAATCTAACGAAACCCGCGAAAAATCCACGTTCCTATGTACGTGTTCTCTACTACGTGTATCACGTTGTAGGAAAAATAATTGTACGAGTCACAATATAACTATTCAACAATGTTTGCGTATGTTGTAAATTGCTTTTGTGAAATAAACATGTTAAGTTTCATTTTCATTCTGCTTTGTACTCTGTTCTGTTTTCTTTTTTCTTTCATTCATGAAATAGTACTGATTGTTTATGTCCAAGCAATTTTTTTTGTGTGCACACTGACGGATGCATCTTATTGTTATCGTAGAAATATAAAATGCATCTAGGGTTGTCAGTATACCTTGTCAATATTGTTAATATTTATTGACAAACCTCATTTGCTTTACATGTTTAATATTTATTGATAATTTAACTTGACGATAATATTTTACAATGTCTAATTAGAATTATAAACGTTGTTCACAATTATTGATCAAAGAACCAAACAATGTAGCCTATGGTTTTAAAAAAATTAATGTTTTGTAAATTTTTTAAAATGAATTTCTTATATTCATCTCAAAAAGTATTTTCTCTTTAACTCTAAATCTGGTTTTTATTCATTGGAAAACCATTTTTCAATGTTTAATTAATGACAATATATATTGATTATTTAAAAATCTCATTAGAAAACCAAAAAAGACATTAAAAAATAGTATGTCTAGAATTTCAATGCAATAATTATGATTACAGACAGAATTTTGTTTGTATACCTGATTGAATAAGCTGAGTCACCAATTGTAAACAAAACATTGAAATGCTAATATGTATGTAAGAAGCTATGGTTGATCTTATTTATTAAACATCAGTTAACTGCTGCTATCAGGGACAAATTTACGTAATTCTGTGAAATGAATTATGATATGTCATTGTGATATTCTAGAACAATGATTATATTCTTATGCTATCTAAATAAGGCTATATATGTATTTGTTTATAGTTGGTGACTTCTATATGTAATTGTTTATAATTATATTATTATATGTAAAATTTCATATATTCTATTTATTTTTTGTTCAGTTATGTTTTAGATATTATAGTTTATACCTTGTTTAAAATTATTTTAACTCATAAAAATATTTAATAATATTATTAACGATTTATATATATATATAATTTTGCTCTCTTGTTTAAAGTGTTCATTAAATGTCCTCATAGAATTTCTTTATATAATTGAATTGTAATGCATAGACACAAATTTTTGTATATAACTATTTTAATATAATTCTAACTAAACATGGTAAATTAATATGTCACAGATCTGGAATAAAGTGAATGAATTCCAAAATGTGGTCATCACAAGGAAACAATTCCAACACAAATGCTTCGAAAGAAGAAAAGAACCTTCGCACACTGGGTATGACATCTGCTATCAGTGTAGCAGAACCAAAGCCCAGTGATCTTACTAGGACTAACGAATTAAAGGAAGCATTAAAGCCATACAATGTATTTGAATCTGAAGAAGAATTAAATCATAGAATGGAAATTTTAAGGTATGTATTTCTATTAAGCATCGGTTTTTGTTATTTGATGATATTAAATATTGAACATTGCATATTACATTACATTTTGACTTCGATTAGCAAATTAAATGCATTGGTGAAGCAGTGGATACGGGACACAAGTATTGCCAGAAATATGCCACCTAATGTTGCTGAACAAGTTGGCGGTAAAATATATACTTTCGGTTCATATAGGTTAGGGGTACACCACAAAGGTGCTGATATAGATGCCCTATGTGTTGTACCCCGTCACATCTATAGGTCGGATTACTTTTCATCCTTCTTTGACTTACTGAAAATGCAAGAAGAAGTGACTGACTTGAGGGTATGTATTTCATATTCTTTCAAATAATATTAATCAATTCTTCATTTAACATGTATTTCTTTTCACATAGCTCTTGTACAGTAAGTAGCGATTTATATTTAGACTAATTGTTAGCTAACTGAAACTATAGAATTCTATGATGAATGTTATCATCAGTTCGTCTTATATGAAATACAGCATTTAAAAAGATTCAAATTTTACAGTTATTCAGTTATATCATTTAATATCTTTTAGGCAGTGGAAGAAGCATTTGTACCAGTAATCAAAATGAATTTTGATGGTATTGAAATTGACATGTTGTTCGCAAAACTAGCTCTTAAAGAAATTCCTGATTCAATGGTTTGTAAATTGTTGTACTGAAGTCTGTTGTCTGTTATTCAACTGTATATCTAATGAATTTGTTTTTATTTATATAGGATTTAAGGGATGATATGCTTCTCAAAAATCTTGATCAGAAATGTGTGAGAAGCCTTAATGGTTGCAGAGTGACTGATGAGATACTACGTTTAGTACCTAATATAGAAAATTTTAGGCTGGCTTTAAGAGCTATTAAATTATGGGCAAAAAGTAAGACGAATTTTTTTCAAATATATTTCATATCGTGGAAGATTTTCTTATGTCTTATTTTACTTTTTTGTTTTTAGGACATGGTATATATAGTAATGTGTTAGGATATCTAGGAGGTGTGTCCTGGGCAATGTTGGTTGCGAGAACATGTCAACTTTATCCTAATGCCGTTGCTGCAACGTTAATAGAAAAATTTTTCCTTGTATTTTCTCAGTGGAAATGGCCACAACCAGTACTCTTAAAGCAGCCCGATAATGTTAATTTAGGTTTTCCTGTTTGGGACCCGAGAGTAAGAATTCTTGTTTTATTTGTATGATATATAACACTTCGTATTTGAAAATAATATAAACACTTTAATATAATACATTTTTTCCTGAAGGTTAATATATCAGATAGGTATCATCTGATGCCAATAATTACACCAGCGTATCCTCAGCAAAATTCAACGTTTAACGTATCAGTTTCGACGAGAACGATCATGCAAGAAGCATTCGAAACTGGACTGTCGATAACGGAAGAAATCATTATGGGAAAAGCAACGTGGGACAAGTTATTCGAACCACCGAATTTCTTTGGCAAATACAAACACTACATTGTACTGTTGGCCAGAAGTTTATCTGCAGAGGATCAGCTGGAGTGGTGTGGACTTGTCGAATCGAAAATACGGCATTTGATAGGTAAAATATTGAATACATTCGTGGTCTGCGTAATATTTTGTAGATTTACAAACAACTAAAATAACTTTTATGCTTTGAATTAGTTTATGATTTACTGTATAGTGTTTGTTTCAGTTAAATGACTTAGATTAAAACAGGTTACTTTTGTTACAATGTAAATTTTAGACTTACTCTTAGGTCGTCAGATAAGTTTATATGTCTTTCACAGGAATAAGCAGCAGTTATACATATATATGTCGATAAATCATATAAATCTCTGTCTTAATCTGTGTCTTTTCTAATCATGAAACTTTGACTTTCAATGTTAATTTGTTGATATTGCAATGCTAATAATTCGCGGATGCCAAAATGGCAAAATCCTAACTCTTAAACACAGGTACCCTGGAAAGGAATCCTCACATTACATTGGCACACGTAAACCCAGAGGCATTTCCACCGTTAGAACCAGAACCAGAGGGTCATTGTTCCATGTGGTTTATCGGCTTACTCTTTGCGAAAAGCGAGAACTTGAACGTCGATCTAACGTACGACATAAAATCGTTTGTAGATTCAAGTAAGTATATTATATCATATAGTGCATAAAATAAAATTCCATTTATCCTATAGGAATTTTTTCTGTTGTCTGGTTAATTCAACTTTGATTAAATTTTGTATATCTCTTAAATTTCAACTTATAAAACTATTTTGATACTTGCTATATGAAGTTCATTAAATAAAACTATTCATGTAATGAATATTTTGTTGGCATTCGATAAAACCATAGTTCAAAATTGTAAATTTTCTAAGTCAGGTTTTATTTCGTCATTGAGCTCAGTACAGTGTAGTCCCGTTATGTGATCCGTTAAGCGAGTTCTCCTTATATCGATTTTGAAGTACCAGATTTACAAATTCCCAAATTTAAAAATTTGAACATTTTCAAGTTTATAAATTTTATAACGAGACTCTAATTTAAAGATATAATAAGGCTATTTTTGTTGTAATCAAACCATACTTCAAAGCTGTAAATATTATTCAAGCTATAACAAATATTACATAACTAAGATTTGTTGACCGAGAAACGTTAGGTCAGAAGAGGGTAACGTAATCTATAGCTTAACTCCTGTTATCAAGAATGATAACCATGTTCCTGTTCCAATGTAAATATTTATGCAAACTTTAAAAATCGATCTCGATATGAACTTTTATCATTTTAACACCAACTTATTGTTATAGCGAATAATCTAATATTTGAATAAATTGAAAATTCAGTCGTTTGAATCTTTTTCCTGATATGTTTAGATAAATGGTGTTTTATATTTTTATTGAATACTATTTCTTGATTCTGTATAAACTTGGACGACTGCTTTTATACTGAATTGTAGTTCAAAGGCAAGCAGAACAACTGAGCGTGCTGAAGGAGGGCATGTGGATAGAGGCAAAACACGTGAAGAGAAAGGATCTACACACTTACGTATCTCCTAGTTTGCTTAGGCGAGAAAGAAAGGTACAAATAGTAGTTTAATTTATCTTAGTATATTCTTGATATTTTGTCCTAAATTATACTAACAAAAATGATATATCGTGCAGGTTTCTGGGAGTGTACATAAGAACGGAAATATTGCTGGCAACGGTAATAATGGTAGCGTGTCACCACGAAACCAAGCAGACGCGGCGAACAGGAAGAGGGGATCAGACCAAAATGCGGATTTGTGTGGAAAAAAACGAAGAGTTAATGATAATGAACAGCAAGTGGCACAGGTATGTATTAAGAACAATTAATTTCGACAACTCGGAATAAAACTTTATGACGAATGTATTTAACAAATTTTGTATTATACTTGAAGGGAGAAGATGGATCGTTGGTAGTCCAGTCATGTGGAGAAGATAGCAATTCCGGATTTAGTTTGGATGAATACAAGCAAACATTGACAACTACTAAGGATGTAAGACATTGTACATATAATGAACAATAATCATCATAGAACAGGATTAGGTAACTACATATAAAACTAGAGCATAGTAAGTGAATTTCGGATTCGTTGGAGGAGAAATTGTCCTCTAACGTAAATTGGAGTCTTGAGGAGGTAAGGGGCGGAGGATACCCTAGTATCATTTGTATGTAATATTCCGCTTCTTTCTCTTGCTTTAATACACTTGGACTTTCTAAGTTGTTGAACACTAAGGTCACGAGTATATTAGCGAATGATGAACGATGAGCACTGACAAAAAGATTCACACTGATAACAAATTTTCAGATCCTTAGATGTTCCACATTTTTACATTAAGTTCAGAAATTTTTTAATTTTCTAAAATAGAATTTTCGAAAGTTTTACAGTTTCAAATCGAGGAATTTACAAATTTTCAAATTAATAAATGTAGGAACTTGAGAATACAGAAATGTTCAAGTGTTCAGATTTGCAAGCTTTCAACCGCTGCATGGAAGAGTCTCTTTCTATATTGCCAGTTCTAAACATTTCTGCTCTTACAGCCTCATCTACAGTAATATAACCCATGTATCGCTAGGTACCGAGGAGTGTGTGCTTTGCTCATTGCTCATTGCTCATTACTCATCGCTTAGTACTATATTGTCGTGTGCAAAGATGTCTTTTTTAATACAGAAAAGGCATCGTTACACACGACCTATACTCGTGGCCTAATGCGTTAATTCGTGTGTTCATTGAATTATTTCAGGAGGGGCCTACTGGTGCATCCACAGTAGCACAGGAAGGGTACGTTTGCACTTGACCACTGCAGAATTACTACCTCACGTCGATTCACAGATGCTCCTCTGGGTCATCTAGACTGTAATCAGTTCTCATGCAACCATCCACTGCCCACTGTAAGTCCCCCGTTTCGTAAAAACAAAGCAACGTCATGCGTTGAAGGAAGCTACCCGTTGGAGTCAATCGATGCACGACTGTATGACAGACGCTCTGATTTTAATCTTTATAAACATCAACAGTCAATGGGAACAATATACCCGCGAACGAATGATTGTGCCAGTGTCTGTGATGTCGCTGTTTTTTATCGTGAACCGTGTGGAAATTCGAGAACTAATGATCGAAAACATTAGAAATACGAGAACTTGAAAGCATCACTATTTGTAAGGTTCGATAATTTTATTTTTATATTTCATTTTGTACATATATCGCTTATGATAATTTTTATCCACGAAATTATTAAAAGCAAAAAAAAAAAGAAAAAAAAAAGAAAGGAGAAGATGAAGAGCAGAGGAAAAGAGAAACACGATGTTAAGCCTGAAGAACGGTTTTCGTGTTGTCACTCCGAAATGTTGTGAATAATGCAACGAGATATTTTCATTAAAAGCTTATAATTAGGGGTTTCAGCTAAAACAAACGAAAAAAAAAAAACAAGAAAAAAACACACACGACGGTTTCAGTGTTACGAAGAAGAAACGTATTCTTGTATAAAACGCATTTCTTTAATGCATAAGTAGATAAAGTATAAAGAAAGAAGTAGTACCACTAAGTTGTAAATAATCTATGCGCTTCGTTACTCTCTCGTGTCGTCAATCATACGAAACGATTTGTTCTTTAAGTTCGAGTAGCGTAACTGTACCGTGGTAAATACGTCTGTCTTGCTTCAGTTATTTAGCCAAATATTTATATAATATTGCTTTAATATTAATATTATTTATACCACTTGTATCACACGAATACTGAACAAGTATCAGTGAATTCAGTTCCAAACGTCAGCGAATATCGTTATCATAGTTTCGCGTAAATTTAAGATTTCATTATTATTTTCTGTTTTCCGTATACCGTGAACAGTCGAGTAACAAACTGAAAATCACCGACACTGGCATAAAAAAACGAATGTTTCATTTACAAACAGAAGCGTAATAAACTCTTTTCGATGGTTACTTTATATGAAACGTAATAAAAAGTAAGCGGTCTCTGTAAATGAAACATTATACACAAGCCATTGACTATCTTGTTGATGATCGTGTTACGCAAATCAGTTTCGTACGGAGAGTGGTCGCTTTTTAGTTTTTATTCACAGAAACGAAGTTATAGCTTTAACAATGCAACACGGGACTGGCATCTGGATTATTCAAACCATCAATCACCTGTTGGTGAGTTATTTCAGGTGCTCGACTGCCTTCAGTCCCTTTTCAGTTCGAATTCTATCCTATATATAAAGTTATTCCAAAATTTCGCTTATACCATACCTTCCTTTATGAATTACCTTCTGTGTTAAAGGCATGTCGCTTATCGACTGTCTATCGAGGTGTTTGATGTTCACTATTTAATAACGCATGTACACTCGGGTGCAATCTAGGTTTCTTGGCTGAGGTAGGGGAAAACAGTATCTCACTATTTAGATTTCAATTTTGAGGAATTTAATACATAAACTTCCAAATTTTGAATATTTTAAACTTTGAAATTTCTACATCTCTCAGTTACGAACTTTTTAATATTTAAACTTCTAAGCTGGCAAATTTTTAAATCTATAAATTTCTAAATTATTAAACTTTTAATTTTTACATTTTGGGTTTTAAACATTTTTATATTTGAAATATATTCAACCAGGAAATGACTAAATTATTACACCTCTATGATGTAATAATTTCCCGGTAATACTTTAATAATTTTATTATAAATTTAATTACAAATTAAGTAAATTAGAAATTATTAAATTTCTAAAATTTCTAAATCTCTAATTTTCGAAATTTTTTTAATTTGAAGATATATTTGTATATTAGGTCTTACAGATTTAAAAAATTTATAAGCTTGTGGATTTAAAACATGACTTCTAATTTTAAAAATTTGAAAAATCCCGATATTCTTAGATTTGGAAATTTGGTTCGCTTGATGAATATTCGTGATTCTCATAACTAATGAACCAGTTAAAATGAGTGGTGATTCGTATTCCCCTAGATCATTCAATTCCCTAAGAAGCCCAGTGTGCCCAGTGTACAAATACCGAATATGAAACGATACACGCTATAAGACCTCGTGTATGATTGTCATATCGAAAAACTAAGTATTTGCAGGGTGTTACTTCGTGATATCGATTGTACACAATTTTTGTACGCCTAAATCGCATGGAAATCGGAAGGTTAGACACGTCAATAATGTATGTCATTTCTTTACCTTAATGTTTCGATATAACAATCGTTAATATGTATAATACGTTGTGAACTTTTTAGTTGTCGATCTTTGATATCTTGAAATTAATTGCGATACTCTGTGGATACTGTAGTTAATTCTGTTCAACGGTTAGGGACCATTTCGTTGCTTGTAAATACTCGCCATAATCTTGGGGATACTAGTTCTTTTTTTTTTCTCGTCATTTATATCGTAATTCTTCGTTTATGTACAGTATTGAGAATGTACACGCTGTACAGAGGAAGGTCGAAGATCAGTTAAAAATCGAACCTTCATTTCTCTCCTCTGCGTTATGTAGTTGGTCGTGTACGATGAAGACGCGAAATTTGGAATGTATACACACGCTGTACAGTGGAAGATCGAGGATCAGTTAGAAAATGAAGCTTTATTTTCTTACTTTGCGTTATATAGTCGATTCGTGTACGATACAAAAAGTTATTATCCTACTTACGTTTTCTTTTTATTCTGTAATTTTGTTACAGTAAAGAGCAAAGTCTAACTCCGACTTGCAAAACACGAACGATTGAGACTTTTGCAGAGATCTAGGTGAATGTAACCCGCGTTCTGATATTATCGTGAAGGTATGTAAATTAAGATTTTCAGGTCTTAAATAAAAGAATTTCTTAAGCAGGAAATACTTGACGATTTATTGATAATTCCACTTAGAACGAATATTATTTAATCGCTTACACGACCTTACGCTCTCCTGAAGGGGTCTATAATCATATACTTTGGTATCTTAATTAATATTTAATCGATTAACCCATTTTGTGTTCTACGAAGTATATTACTAATTATTATAGTAGATTGTTCATGTATTCACGATATATTTCAAAATTGAAACGGTTTGCAAATTTTCAACAATTTTCTTTGTGATTTCGGTCACATGTGTTCAATCTACGCTGCTCTTCACTGTAGTTCTTTCGGCTTTACTTCATTTATCAAAATTTGTATTGACAGGTGTTGATGTCGATCCACCTTTGACCTCTTTAATCAAATTGCACGTTCCATTAAAATCGTGAATACTTTCAACTTTTTTTTTGTGTTCATCTAACTATGATGTCATTGAACTTCCTGTATAAAGTTCAGTGTAAAATTATAAGATCTCGTAGTATTATGTGATCACGTTGGGGTCAATTATAGTCTCTTTTTTCTGCTTAGTTGTTAATTATCATATTCCTTCTTCTTCATACTTATCCATCACATCTAGGGATAATTTCTCCATTTGTTCATTTAATTAAGAAACAATTGGTCACGGCGCATTTTTATAAGAAACAGAAAAAGCCTTGTAATATATTTTTCGAAATTAGTAAAACTACTGGTTCTCTTCTTTTTTTCAACCCTCGTAGGACTGTGCTCCAGTTACTTAAAATTAAAAATTATATTGTGTGTAATTTTCAAACATTTTGTATGTACAGTTAAGAACTAAATTAAATTAAAATATTGAGAAGCAGGTTTCAGTCATTGCCTTTATTAAAAATACTTGTATTTTGTGAATAATCACATCTATTAATTATTTTCAATTTCGCAATCAATATGAATGTTACTATGCTCCAAAAAATATTTCTATGTTGTAAAGAAATCAAACAAATTCCTAAGAAATGTTTACATTAAAAAAAAAACGAAATTAATTTGTGATACTTGAAAAAAAATTTTGAATGCACCTGCGAAGTCCTATGAGGGTCCATAAAAGAGACTCAGAAACAAATTGATTATGGTGCAATACATAAACTTTTAGGTATTTTCGAATGACTGTTTGATTAAATATAACATTAATCAGAACAAGGGAAAGTTACGATTACAGAAAATTTTATTTGAAAAAATACATGCTTTACGAGGCTGCGCACGTATTTACATAAACTATTAATTATGTTGTAAACTTGCCTCGTATTTTTTCTCACAAAATCGTGTCTTTGATCGTAACTTTTCCGTCGCGCTAGTTAAGAATCTTCTTTTAAATTAATTACATGTTCGGACGAGACAACGAACACCATGAAAGTTCCTTCGAATTATTTCTACGACAGTCATTCAGTCAGTCAGGTGGCAGGTGACAATGCTCAATGAAAGTACTCAGGAAATAATTTTCTACGTTTAATATTAACAAAATGATGCAGAACAGTATACAGTTTCGAACGGTTTGCACTAGATTTTCCGATCGTCCGAACTTTCCTCTTCGAATTCGACCACCTCTACAAGAAAAGTCAAAAATACAAAATTATTCGGCACTGTGCACAGAAAATTTTGTATTTTTCAATTATTCTTCGTCATTTTAGTCTTTAAATTTTAGTCTATCATTTTTAAATATTATTCTTCCGATATAATTGGGGCAATTTCATTTTTTACGAACCTTTTATTTTCCACAGTTAAGTTTCGTACGGTTAAAGAAAATAAATAAAATATTGTTGAGAGAGTTCCACATCATAAGCAACTGATACGAAAATTTTTCATAAAAAATTTCAGTATATTTTAATCGTAACGTTGTGTAAATTTTATAGACTTTAGTCACCAGATTTCCTTCGACAATTTTTTTACCATGTTTTGTAATACATAGTTCGCCAAAAGCTTCATTTTCTTCGTAGAGGTGCAGCAGTTTTCAAAGTGGTTAAGTCTTTAAAATTTCTGCGACTAATCTCGAATTATTCCTTCATCGTTTCTCCCTTCGCTTAAAAATCTACAATCGATATTTAGAAAATGCTAATTTATCTATTATAGTTACAAGATAATCATTTTTATTATCGTTACTATCATTATGCACTACCAAAAATGAAGCTATGTAAGTGCATCATAGTTGAATACAAAAATATCAATAAACAGTGAACATCAATATTATCCTCGCGTGTAAAGCGTCACATATTCTCATTGTTTCAAAAAGTCCTGAAAAAATGAGATCGTGCATTTGATATTTACTTCCATTTCTGAAAAGATACCAAGCAGACATGTCTATAGCACATTCTTACCTCCTCGATCCGTTTTCGAGAACGTTTCATCCACGTTCTCGAGCCACCAAACGACGAAACACCATAGAAAAATTAGAGAAACGAAACGGTAAATGTCACTCATGAAACACACGCAAACATACATGTACACGTACACAGTTTTTTCCTCGTATAACAAGCAGAAAAGATAAAAGAAAAAAAAATCGAAAAGTCTAGGAAAAAAAAGTGCTGAAGGCATGGCCAATTATCATTTAGGAATAAAAGTGTTCTTTCGAAAATGTACAGAGAGTCGGAAATTTTAAAGACTGTCCCGATCGATCGACTCATGTACGATGTCCGTCGATCGATCAGGGATTCTCGTAGGATCTTGTCTTGTATTATAATCCCTTTGTCTCGAATACGACAGAAACCTTAAAAGGAAAGAGTAGTGAACATTTGTGTTCATTTACCGTGGACACCATGATGCACGTACAATCAGTTATGTAGGCTTTCTTGGGATAAGCAGGAGGATCTCATCGCTTAGTTTCGATTTTGAGATATTATGTAATACTGACAATTTTCAAATTTAGAAATTTCTCAGATTTTTAAATTTTTTAATTGTGAATTTTCTGAATTCCTGAATTTCTCAAGGCTTCAAATTTTCAGATTTTCTAATTTTCAAATTCTCAAGTTCATAAATTCGCAGTATTCCAAATTGCAAATTTTTAAAATACATTTCATAGTTTTGAAATGTTAAAGTCTTTAAATATTACCAGAATCCTAAATTCTTACATTTTTGAATTTCCGAAATTTACATCCCAAATTTTCAAATTTCCAAATCCCCAAATTTTTAAATTTCCAAATCCCTAAATTTTCTTAATTATTCAAATTGATCAAATTACTCAAATTATTCAAATTACTTAAATTATCGAAATTACTCAAATTATCCAAATTACTCAAATTATCCCAGTTACCCAAATTATCCACATTATCTAAATGATCCAAATTCTCCAAATTATCCAAGTTATCAAAATTATTCCAATTATCTACACTTGTTCATATAATCCAAATAGTCCAAATGGTTCAAATTGTTCTAATGATCTAAATTCTTCAAATTATCCAAATTACCCAAATTAATCAAGTTGCCCAAATTGTCTAAATTATCCAAATTACCCAAATTAATCAAGTTGTCCAAATTGTCTAAATTATCCAAATTACTCAAATTATCCATATGATGCAAATAGTCTACATGACCTAAATTATCAAATCACCCAAACGACTAAAGTTCTAAATTCGAAAGCTATTAGACCAAAAACGAGCGAGTGATGAGGTCCCCTTTCCCTACATCGCCATTTTCCCTAGGAAAGTCTACTGTGCTTGATGCTGTACAAACACACGCGTACACGTACACATTCTACACATACACACACACGCGTTGTACACTACATGCATATTCATTATACGAGAGACCGCGTGCACAGAGACGTGACACGCGACGAATTTTCTATGGGACATAATTGTGGAAGTAACGCGAATGCATCAAGGCTGCGTGTTTAACATGTGAACGTGCGAGTCATTTGTCTGAATGAAAAATAAACGACATCGAATACATTACACCATGTGTTTATGTGCTTGTACACACAGCGTACACAGGTTCCTCGCGATACACCGAACGGACCCTCCTCCCTCTGCCACGCCGTCACCCTCGCCTATCCTGGTGTGCACACGATGCAAATGGTATGGATCGAATTTTCAATCGAACTCTGTGTTCATTATCTTATAATCGTGCAAAGATGCGAACAAATCGTATGAAATTTTACTGTTGGGTTATGTGTTGCTACTTCTGAAAAGTACTTTCAAGAACTACTTTTCTTATATCAGTACTTTCGTTTTCATATAACGTATTTAGAAGATGATATTTTATGGAAGAAGCATGATTATTTCGATTCACTTATTTTGTATGGTTATATTGTATGTTGTGATATGTTACATATGTGTAACATACAGTGTGTCTCTTTTAAGTTAGATATCTATTATGTTTTCAATGCTATTCAAAATTGAAAGAATGCGAATTAACCACATTAATGTGGTTTCATAATAGACGTTTAAATAAAAGGCACCGTTTATTTTGTATTACGTTTAGTAGCAGTGGAAATAAGTTAGATATTCAACTTAAGCGACATTTTATATTATGCATAATAATATAGAATACAAACTAGTCTGAAATAATCATTTTTATTTGCTCTTCTGTAAAATTGTATGCTTTTTACAATATGGGGTGTTAGAAGGTACCGATATCTAATCGTTATAAACTGAAATATTTTTTAAAAAGAAATTGCAGTAAAATTGCCTGTAATATTTAAAAAATTGTCTCCGTTTTATTTTATAGTTTGATTGTAGTCGAAATTGTGTGGTAACCGATAAATTTCAAACTTCTCTCTATACGTATGTGTGAAAATGGCAATATAATGGAACTCTATTATATTTTCATCGAATCCGTGTATTCGATACGTTTTTTTATTATTCGAATATAATACGGGGATAAATTCGAATTCAAACCATTTAAAGACACAAAGATTCCCTCCATACTTCTGCCACAACGTAGATACACTAGTCCCTTCTAACGGTGAAACTTTTCGCATACTTTCGTTAACATTTAGAGAAAAAATAAATTAACTATTGACTACCATGTTCTGAAAAGAAAAGTAGTTTTTTCATAATTTCACTTTTGGAATAAAAGTTAAATGCTTTCGCGTTTAATGCTTGTCTCGCAACTTTTCAATTTCGATATACCAGAAATTACATGGTAGTTGTTAAAATTCTGATTCTACTATTCTACAAACATAATATTTTTAACTCGAAGTCGAGACTTAATATTTGATCATTATGTCAGTAAAATTATATTAAAATCCATATATAATATTACTGAAAATCGAAACAAGTATTGGTATTTTCTTTGCTAACAAATAAGTCGAAAAGTGTAATAAAATGGAAAATCGACAAAATTATTCGTATTTTCGAATGTCGACTTGTATAAGTTGTAAAAATAAATGTGTGATGAGCAGTTAGGTTCTCCTAAGCAAAATGACGATGCAAAGGAAAGAAATCTCACCATTCAAGTTTTGGTTGACAAGTTTTCAAATTTTCGAATTTACAAACCAAAATCTAGGAGATCTAAACACTTGAAAATTTCGAACTTTTGAATATTAAAAAAAATTTATAAAACTGAAAATTATCATACTTAAAAATCTGGAAATTCTAAAAGAATCTACAAATTTCAAAGTTTGGAACCTCTAGTCTTGTTCCAAATTTAGAAACTTAAGAATGTTCGGAAACATTGTTATTTGAACTTCCAGAATCCTAACTTTTCCAAAGCCTACACTGCTCACACCTGAAAATACCGATATCTATTTCGCTAAGTCTCCACCAAATTTCCCCAATGATTAAATTATCCGTTCATTACGAGACAAACTAACACGAAAGAGCACCATACCTAGAATTGGAACCGCGAGTAAATTTTGGACTGTTGGAAAGGTCTGGTGTATATCATAGTATTTATTGTTCCGCGATTGTTCGCTCGAAATAAAACGCTCGCAGAGTCTCGTTTCGAGGACTATTATAGATTGGTGTGTGTACGTGTATGTGTCTTCTTTAGCAGCATCGAGGGTACACGAGGATGCACACTGTTACTTAAGTTCCTGCCACTGAGAGTGAGTGCTGGTGGGTGCATGGATCTCGAAGGAGACCGTATACGCGATATCGGTGTATCGCGAAGACCGCAAACGCGTTAGTTGTTACTCCATTCGTAGGATCAGGGTCGTTGTATAACACATTACGACGACAAAAGGGTCCACACACCACGTGCTTCGACGTTGCAATTAGGACGATTGTTTACCGCGGAGCACAAGTTATAACGCATAATTTGTATCCCCTCGGCAGTTGTACACTCTGTATCTTTCTTGAAATAAACCGAAATAAATTTTTCTTTTCAATTCCTTCAGCCAAAATGTACCGGTGCTCGGCAATGATTCGATGAAATGACACATTTTGTTTGTATGATTTATTTTAGGGTGCTCGATGGCGACTGTGCGAAATATAGATATTTGTATTAAATATATGCATGTGGATGTATGATGTGAATCGTAGGATCAGAGTCAATGTGAATTTTTTGGATTGGAATACATTTTGATAAGTTTTTGTTATGGATATGTTAAGAGGATTGAAACTGTTTAAGACTGTTATGAAAAATGTAATGGTTAGTATTTGATTACTTTGTGATCTAGTTATCACTTGAATATGTAGCATATTATAATTAAACAACCTATTGTTGCTTGTATTGTTTACAAGCGTCTCTGATAGTTTCTTGAATAATTTTTATAGATTCAACGTTTTTAGTGTGTATTAAACAAATATACCTGTAACATCATTATTGAAAAATATATCACTTTTGAAAAAAATGAGAATTTAGTGTAATTGGTACCTATTTAAAAATTCACAGGTCTAGTGTGAAACGATACATTTATTTATTTCACGAGTCCTAATAATTTAAACAGACACTGCATTGCCTGAGAGGTGAAGTAATATTGAAGTGATTGTGTTAATAGAATGAAATAGAATTTGATATGTATCAATTATGTGTGTCATTTCATGGTATCATTGTCGACTTTTGTTCTTTTCCTTTTCTCCAACCTGTTCCTTAATTAACCCCCTGACATATGAGTTGTATTACACTTGCTTTTATGATAATTTTTGTTTCATCGATATTTTCTAAGTGATAGTTCTAATATACTTTGTTATTTTATAATTAAAATATAAATATGATCAGACGAAAAGTGTATACATTTACTGATAAATTAAATGAAATTATATATTACAATCGTTGATAATTTTCCATATTTTAGTTAAGAAATAAATAACATTCGTATTAGTTGAAAATTAAGCATGGAAAGTATTACAATTTTCCTTTCCATTTAAATTAAAAATTTAGATATGACTATTAATCGCCATAATGAAACCAAACGTGTTGAATATTTTAGTTAAATACTTCATATGCTATTCACATGTGGACGACTGAAAAATTTTGCATTTCTGTAATTGAACTAATTATGTATCGTTTGAATATCGAGAACAGAAGAAATCTATTATAAAATCCTGAATATGTGCTAAAATATTGTTGATCATTTTACTGCATGATCGGTTAATATATTATTAAGTTATGTTAACAAATTATATTCCAATATGTGATATTGTGCATACATACATTTAATACGTCCAATCATTTTGGAATTCTAAAATTAATTAAAGACACCCATTTTTACAACATGCGCGCAAACATTATATTTGACAGGTACAACATAATTAAATAACCCAGTTTATTTAGAATTTTAATTATCTCAAAATAATACTCATTTTACAGTAACTTCGTAATGGATAACAGTTTGTGTTGCAAACAATTCTTCAACAAATATTTAACAAGTCGATTGTTATACCATGCTTTTCATGACGGAAAGATATGCCATAGACGCTTTTATTATCTATAACAAAAACGAATAAATCTGAAATATTGTTGCAAATTGTATGTAGTCAAAATTGAACACTTACAACGCCAAAGGTTTCTAACGAAAATACGTAAAATTTGCCTGCGGTTAAATACAATGGTTTCTGCGATCGAGCAATGCAAAACATTAAAGACCTCACATATTTATCCGGTAAATTATACCAATTTGTGAAATAACAAGCCGCCTGTATTTCACTGCTCTGAAAGCGTAATAAAGTATATCAGCCTATTGTGTTATTAGATAAGTTTTTCAATAAATGTTCTTCAGAGTTTTTAAAATTATTCTTTACATTAAAAAATTTTTCATATTGTATTAAAATGGACTCTTAAAATTGCATTTTTTTAAACTTATATTAAAATTAGTATTTGTTAATTGTTATTAATAACAATTGATTAAAATTGTTAATATAAGTTCATGGTAAATTATTCTATTCCCAATAAAGCAATTTTTACTAGTGTTTTATTTATAAATAATTGATCGATTACCTCATTGATTAAACATTCTCCCAAAAAACAATAGCAAAATGCTAACAACACGACAGCACAAGAATAAATGATGAAATGCACAGTATTCATATCTTCGCCAGATTCGCTGGTCTACAAAATAAAGTTTCATGATTTTATTTAGCAATTCACAATATACAACACAAAAGAAACATTTCTTGTTAATAAGAATATTAAACGACGAGTGTAAAGAATATATGAAACGTTACCATCAATAACTGATATACCACGATGCATAAAGAAAATATTAATCCCAGAGTTTGCACAAACATGAGGGAACTAAATGTCTCGGATAAAACATTCGCCAATCTGCAATTGAATTAACGATAATTATATACGTCACTATTTCATCCTGATTTTTTCGATTTCTGATAACTGTAGAACTTTAGAAAGTTTGACTGAAAGCTAATTAAAAAATCTCTGATCGCTAATTATTTATGCATAACTGAATAGAAAGTTCAATTATTTATTTTTATTTCAACCATGTTAACACCTTGCACTAAAAATAACTGAATATTCATTTTTTTTCAATAACAAAATGTTCAATTTTTTTTTTGCATTTTAACCAGGTTAACACTTGCACTACTTTGACGAATTTAATTTGTTTCACTACTGCACTGGTACTTCAGTTGTGATCAATTTTATTCAAATTTTTAATACGCAATTTGAAGTTCCAATGCAATTATTTATTTAGTCAACAATTGACAGCAAATTAACATAGCATTTCAACTTTCTTTAAGTGTTTTAACATTGTAGCTGTGATTAATTAGATCTGTCTTACGCACCTGACGAGCAAATCATAGTGCAAGACGTTAATGTATTTTGTACTTCTTTTTTGTTCAATTATTCAACTATATTGACCACTTGTAACCCGAATCGTTACTATAGTTTAAGCTTACGGTATTCGAGACAAACGACAATATTAATTAATATTATTATTGAAAATATTACGTTGGATTAAACGTTATTAAAATTTAACCTAAATCTGATACAACCCTAATTTTATACCCTGAGTAATATAACTTATTGTTATGTTTTTTATTTGTTATAACCAAATTTTATTCGTTTCTCGCCAAATCTCGCCAAATTATATTTCTAACCAAATACAAATGATATAAATTTAATTTTTATAGCAAATGCCCTATTTGCTCGATGCTAGCTGTCTATAACAGTCAATATACTGACATAATTTTCTACTATATCTTCCTATTCATATTCACTATGTTTCACCTGAGAAGTTCGGTATGCCGTTCAACGAGTATCTTCATCTTCGGAAAGTATATTTGGGGTTCGAGATCGATACTTCTAACTCGTTGACTCAGAATCGAAAGTTGGCTACAAATGTGAAACGTTAACGTCACCAGAAGACTGTCTGCGCCAGTTGCACCGATTGTTAACATCATGCTGACTGGTATCAAATAAACACAGAAGAGAGCGTACGTACGCATTTCCGTCACTTCGTAAATGTGGTTCACTTTCATCGGTAACTCGTAAGGAAGTGTACAATTTACGAATTCTGTAAATTAATGAAGAACAATTAATTCGTACGTGATTCACAAAACAAATTGTTCTTTACTATAAACTTCAATTTTCGAATTTTTGTCTCGGTTAAATGCTACAGAAAATTGTTCAACTCAATTTAATGTAATTACTTGTAAAATTATAACAAAATTTACTTATGCAATAAAATCTGTAAAGTATATTGCCTGAAAATAACAATAAATATCTCTGCAAAATAAAGAGACGATCACGAAGCTATTTCACGCGTGAAATATTTGAAATGAACCTTTCAGTACGTGTCCCTTCGTGCGACTTTTCTCCTACCTTAAATCCTCATCTCATCGAGGCACACATTTTTAAGAAAGAATAAAAATCGATTTATTTATGCTGTAATACACGACTTGTTATAAAAAGGGCAGAGGCAGAAGTGTAGAAACGACAGTGCGGAGTACATAAATTCGCATTTGTTTGCTGGCGAACGAAGAGGCGCTCGAAACGGTTGCAAAAAAGAGTCGCGTCGTCGGTGGTCGTACAAAATCTTCGACAAACTGTGACAGCCTCATAAAACTCGATCGTTTGTGTATCGTGAAGGAAGTAACTGTCGCCTTGAAACATCATAAACCTGCATACGCCAACTAACTGTACGCGTGCGATCATGCGGATACGGATATTGAATGCATTTTCTGGATCCAGGCGATAAGGTCTGCATTAAAGTACTGATTTATCATACTTGTGGGTCCGTGACGCGTCGGTAATGCCGAAGAGTTTAATAAAACCAGCACTTTTACTGCTTTCTTCGATCTACGAAATTCCGGATATGAGCCACGTTCACGTTTTAATGAAACCACCGGTTGACGTTTAAACGCTGAAATCAAGTTCTCAAAAGGGGGCCACGTCAGGTGTTATACACCCCATTTTAATAAAATACATCTGATATGTTGGCGAGTGAGAAATACACCGGTATTCGCGGTATATTTCCCCCCCAAAATATGCCAACATCTGATACGAATGTTATTGTAAGTTTTGTTACACTATTTTGCAGTTATAACGGAAATGTAGTTTCGAAAATTATTTTTGGCTTGGGAACAGTTTTTACTATTAGAAGTAGTTTTAAATGTAAGAAATCGAACATTGGAACTGGATATTTCGTAACTTTTTTAAAAACATTTTGATATGCAGAACATATAAAAACTGATTATATATTCAATTTATTATTGATACTGTATAATGAAATATTATTATATGCAAAGTCAGTGATGAACTTTTGATACATTAATTTATTATTTTCTGTCACAGAAGTGTTCTGTTTATGTGAATAACGCAGATAAAATGACAGTATACGAAATTACAATCCATTAATGTTAATTTGTAAACAAAAATACGTATAATTAAAACTATACTGTAAATACAGTCATACTACTATATTACTATAAAATTTTGAAATGCTATAAAGCTTAGTTAATTCAATAATACAGATAACTTAATGCAATATAATTTTCTCATAAGCCATGAAATTTCAAAATCCCTGAGTGTGAAGGTTTAAAAATTTCTAAATCCCAGGGTATTCAAATTTAATAGCATTAGAATACCCAAACCACAAAATTCCAAAGCGTCAAAGTACCAAAACCACAAAGTTCAAAACCAAAAATATCAATGTTACAAAATTTTAAACTGTGATTTCTGCAAGCCCAAAAATTCCAAAAAAGTTTTCAAGTTCCAAGGTACCATGGTACCAAAGTTCTAAAGTTCCAAAATCCCAATACTTTACACCTCGAACTCCGAAATTTTCAAAGTCCCTAGTCCAAAAATTCCAGTTTCGAAAACGATAATTTGTCGCAAATGTCTCAATTGTAACGTATAATTTAACAACAAAAAGATTGAATAAAGCAGTAGAATAAAAAAATAACATTGCACTAAAGAGTTTCACATTTCAACATCACGCACCAAAAATCAACTGGCAATGACATCCCTTCAGCAGCCACATTTTGTAGATCCTATAGAAATGTTAGCTGTGGCTCTGAAGCTTCGATTACAAAATAAAAACGAGATATTAAAACATTATTTATCGTGCCAAACTAGAAAAAAATTTGCAAAAAGTATGTAAAAACTTGAAAAAATATAGAGACACGTGAGTTCGAAGAGACACGACGTGAGAGGGAGCTGGTCTCGTTTGGTTTAACCGGTTAACCTAGAAAGTCCTGATCGCGAATCGAATCGCGAACACTTACGCGACAAAAAGCAGCCGACGACTGGCTTCGTGTAGAACAACGTGGGTACGAAGAACAAAGACAGGGCCGACGAGGTGGAAAATAACGTGGCGGCCACGTTGTACCACACCGCTGTCTGTCGTTCCTCCTGCGTCTGATACAATCCTTGCTCGACGTCCCTTTTCACGAGTGCCAGCAAAGGTAAGACAAGATGCATGTTCAACCGAAACATCACGGCCTTCAGCACTATCAAGATGGTCGGGAACGATAGCGTGATATTTTTCAGCGACCTCTCAAGGTCGTGGATGTTCTGCAGCAACGTCACTATCTCCAGCCAAGTGAAGATCACGACGTACGTAATGTAGAAGAAAAATTGTACGTCGTTGCGATTTTCCGGCCACAGACCCGATAAGCTGAGCAGACGTTTGCTCCACGAGAGCACGTTCTCATCGAAGAACGATTCTATAGTCAACGATATCGGTTTCTTCATGCTGGTGAACGTGATCGTTTAGCTCGTTGCTTTTGTTTCAAAGGTGTTGCGAAATCTTTCTGGTTTGACACGTTAAATTCCATGGAAAGACCAGGTATGATCAAATTTTCTTAACGCGTTCATTTCTACGGAAAATATCTGTGTCCACTGAAGAATGCGGTAATGTGAACTATTTGCTTGGAAAGTACCCTTCAATGGAACACTCTTCAATAAAATGTGATGTAGAAAAATAAATGAATATATTAGGCTTTGAAAAATTTGAATGAAATTTATAGTAACTATCATTATTGGTAATTATTGATGGCACTCGTGTTAATTTTAACAAAAGAAAATGTACGAAAATTTTGTATATTGTAAAAATTAAATGAGTAATATGGAACAATAGTTCGAATGAGAATTGCAACTTCCTATGGAATTCAACGTGTTAAATATTAAATATTTCGTAATTTTTATGTTTAAGATTACATAAATGCTATAAATTTAAAAAGGTTAGTATTTTCACAGTTGATTTTTTCACTTTCTAAGATATAATTCCTGAGAAGTAGAAATAGTTGATCATATACATTTCAATAGTTGAAATAATTAGTCACTGAAGTAAAAACGTATGCTCAATACAAAGAAATGCATAATCTTGCATAATGTATCTTCGGTTTACGTACTACCGAATTTATATCGATATTTTATTTTGCAAAATATAATACGTTACTTGTTTCGATTTTTCCTGAAAAAAATATCCATGATTCCTATCGACAGTAGATACGAGACTGCAGTTAAGTTGGAACGTGCAAATTCGCGAAGAACACCCCTCGAATCCCCATAGCTTTTCAATCGATAGTAGTTCTGCATTAATGAGTAATTACACATTCTTCATCGTTTTTGTCGGGTGGGTGCAAAGTAACGTCACGCCATCGGCGCGAATTGCTTCGATAGTAGCAGTTTTCGTCGTGAACAATTTTGCATACGTTATCAACTGTGTCCAAGTTTCCTTTATTTTGGAATATACGTGTAGCACTGCGAAGAGTGTACGTGAAGTTTTGGCAAAAAATTTCAAGCTGCAATTATTACTTTGTTCACAGTTCGAAGAATAAGAAGTTTAGTTCTACTCAGTGAGAACATTTGAAAATCGTTTCGTTGCATTCAGACTGTGATTCAGCGACGAACGAATCACTTCAGAGGGTATTTTTGACAGCTACTTGTTCTTTACAGTGAATTTAGAATTTGCTGTAGAAGAAATAACTATAACTTAAAATTACATCGAACATTAATTATTAATTTTAACTATTACAGTTACTTTTAATAGCTATAACATGTCGCCATCGAAAAGTGTGTCAACTTATTGTTGAAATGAAAGAATTGTATACATCACTTTCATACGTTTATTTAGAAAACTAAAATATGGACAAATTAAATTGAAGAAGAATCAGCACAAGCTTTATCATATCGTATTTCTTGAATAAACATAACAACGCAAAAATTTTATTTTTAATCTTCAGTCTCCACTACTTATCTCTAATATTACTTTCAGAAGTCTATTTCAAACTTCAAAATTACGTATACACCCAAGATTAGTTTTCTTCGCCGCAGACAATACGTACTCTTCAAGATACAAGTTCATTCAAATACGTATCGGCTTGTTCTATTATTTTTGCTCGACAAATGTAAAGTATCAACTCGAATCAAAGAGGTCTAACTATACGCTTGAGATCAATTGAAATTGTGGTAAGTATAATCGATCGTTATAAATCAGAATAGAATTCCGATCGCGAAATGCACAAGGAATCCTCGTTCGAGGACGATCAAGAGCGCGTGTGCGCGACGGTGGCGGTGGAGCTTGCAACGGACTACCGAATGCAACCAGTGTCATGCAGTCGTTGCACCGAGTGCACGTGAAGAAGATTGTTTCATGCGAAGGAAAACACGGAAATCCGTGGAGAACAGGGGTGCGAGATCACTTTGAACATCCTACGGGAACTGGAGACATTCTCCATTCGAAATGAGGTACAAACGGATCGGTGTAATCGGCGCGTTTCTGATCGCGATTGTATGCCTGCTATCAGGCCTCATGTACTATTTTAATCAAGGTACGTCACTTGTACTGATCGCTGCTAATAATTTTATACAATTTGTTTATTTAGTTTTGGATGATCGATACAATGAGATACTTTGAAAATTTTTTGTAATTTAGAAAGTAACCAGAATGGAAGCTTTTTTGTATTGTTTTTTGTGCTTTATGTATTTAATGAATGGGCAATGCAACACATGGCGATATATTGCATGAGTGATATAATAGCGATATAACACGCGGTGATAGAACGCGTGGCAATAAAGAGCGGTAGTATAAGTATGGTAATATAACGAACGGTTATATACAGCGCGGTAATACAACGCGTGATGACAGTATGTTACGTCGCGATACAAAACGTGGCGATATATTGCAAGAGTGATGTAATGCATGACAGTATAATGCATAGCAACATAACGCACAGTAGTACAATATAGAGCAATATAACGCGAGGTAATACAACGCGTAGCAATATAACGCGAGGTTATACAACGCGTGACGGTATGTCACGTGCTAATACAACATGCGATGATATAATTCATGGCGATATACAGCATTTGCAGTGTAATACGCGTCAATTAATTCATGGTGATATAGTACGCGGTAATACACCGTGCGGTGACATAAGGTAAGTAATACAACACGTACCGATATAACGTGCGGAAACAGAACGCGTGGCGATATAACGCGCGGTAATAGAACGCGTGGCAATATACCGAGCAACAGTATGAAGCGTGGCTATAAGCACATGATTATACAACGATATAGCACGTGACAATGCAACAACACGTAGATATACGACTTATGGCAATACAACGCGAGATGATATAACACGTGTCAATATGCTTAAGAAAAATAAAATATTAAAATAGTAAACTGCATATTGATATTATATATATGATATAATACTATCGTTACTTTCTTTTAATTTATTTTAGTCGCGCTTGACAAAAAATTGAATTATCAATATAATTTTAATTTGAACTGATAAATGCATAATATACATTATCGAAATAATATTTGAACAATTTCAAGGAGTATTGTCTTGACCACTTCGAACAGTACCATATTTGAAAAAGTTTATTTCTAACCGTACAAAGTACATTTTTTACTACAAATATTTTTTATAAAGATAAATGCACGAAAAATATGCACGGATTTTACTACGAATAAATATGGATGCGTCTATATGTACGAATCACAGTGCGAATTGCACATATTTTACTGCACTTAACGAGGGTTATTTATTCCTATTAAGATTGCGCAAGAAAGAAAGTAACGAGCCAACTAGGAAAGAGCAAAAATGGGGAAATTAAATCGTTAATCAACCATAGCAGATATGCAATTTAAATTATCGTCCCTTTGTGACTTCACGATAAATTTGCGAATATTTTCTTGCAGTGAGGGAGATAATATCAAGGACTTTTGATAATAATTGTAAAAAATAAACATTATCATTAAACAAATGTTTCCGTAATTTCAGATACTTGTCCTGTGGGAACATTTCTCTGTTTCAACACTACTATATGTTTACCCCAAAGAAATTGGTGCGATCAAGAAACGCAATGTCCTTTCGGCGAGGACGAACAGAGTTGCTGTATGTTTATCATCTAATATTATATTTAAATGTTCATTTGAATAATTACATAATTTTATTTAATTTAATGCCCTTTAATTTCCGTTTTGAACAATCAGTAAAGCAGTTCCCAGACTTTCTAGAGACTTTTCAAATTTCTAACTTATCATATTCTTCAATTTTCAAATTTCTAACTTGTCATATTCTTGAACTTTCGAATTTCCTCAAATTTTCAAATAATCTTTCTCTAAATTCTTAAACAATAAAATTTTCAAATATACAATTTTCTACAAAAGAAGGAATCGGAAACGAAAGAAGTTTTTTACCAACCCAACAAATAACCATCGATGGATCTTTTTACACTTACACTTCTTCATTCTAACATTCGTGTAATCGGTAATGATTACATTGAACATTTGTTCAAAAATAAGTCTTACCTCTACAAAAGTGTGCTTCTGCATGGTGGTGTTTCTGCATCGCCAGACATTTGAAACACTATGCATTAATAATATTTAATTAATACGTTAATTAAATATTCGATATTCAATACTATAACACACTCATTAAAATATAACGAATACTCAGTTTATGTTCCCTGCATTCAATCATATTTTTCAATTACCGCACCATGAAACCTGAATATAGGATTTTAAAAAAGTACGTTCAAAATAATTTTCTGTCTCGAAGAGCTTATCCAGGGCTCGTAATTTAAAAACAGCAATAAAATCTAATTGGTCAAGAACTGGATAAGGAATTTGCGAAATTTTATTGCGGTGATAAATTAAGGGAGAAAATGAAAAAAAAAATAATTGGCGGGTTTAAAAAGATCCACCGATAGCTACGCGTGTGTTAAATTGAAAATTTAGTTGCAACGTTTGACACTTTTACATTCTTCTCGCATTGTGCCAATGCACGGTATCGTAAAAGAATGTTTCTTTGTACCCAGATGATTATCACGGTGTATTGGACTGGTTTGGCAGCGACAGAGATTCCGTAAGGGATGCAGTAAGAGAATCCGTTTGCGGTAATGCAACATAATTTATATAACGAGGAAACACCGTATCGAATTGCAAGAATAATAAAGAGGCGATATAAAATGAACGTTGCAAAAGACTGGACAAAAATTATGACTTTGTGTTCCTTTTTTTATAGATGCTACTAACATTACCGTTGGATGCATGTACGTGAAGTGCCGCGCAACCTGTGAGAGATACACGGAAATACCGCAGAACCTATCTTCCGAAATTACCTCCATGTACGTATTATTTAATATTCAGTAATCGAATATTACACGCGAAAGATTAATACATAGGCTGAATTATTTCGTATTAACGTTATTCACAATTATTCAGATTGATTATTAAACTTTTGCCAAAGAGTAGGGATAGAGGCGACACTATGGGTGGCGCTTTTGATGTTCGGAAAATACCGTCACTTTAAATTGTACAAAAGAACGAGAAATTTAAATCAAGTGAATCTAACTTCATGTCAACCTCTAATAATTAAAAATCCATTTGTCGTGAATTTTTTCCAAATTATCAATATTAGTCTTGGAAATATTTACATCAATTTGGTACCATTGAAAAGTTGAAAGAGAAAGACATACTAAAATGATTACTCTGCACAATATATTTTAACTCCTTGCATTATTTCGACGAGTTTGACTCGTGACGCACTCGTATATCAGCTGTGATTAATTTTACTCGAATTTTTAATACGCCTCAATTTGGAGTTCAAGTCCAATTATAATTTGCGTAGTCAACAATTGCATAATAACAGATTGAAATAACATTCCAACTTTCTTTGTCTGTTTTAATATTGTAACTGTAATTTGTTCTGACTGACGCGCCCGATAAACGAATCATAGAGTAAGGGGTTAAATATATATTTCAGAAATGATTATTGCAAATAACTTATACGGAAATGACAAAATATCACTAGAAGATACAGATGTTATAGAGAAACGACAAAATGTTTATTACAAGTAAGATAGTTGTGCTTATGCAAGTTTAAACCGTTCTTTACCGACGGCTATATTTGCACACTATGCACATGCGTATTTTGAAATACTTGGACACTTAAATTGCTTGTGTTCTTTATCTCTCTAAAATATAGTTTCCTTTTTGAATGTCGCCTCTTGTATTCTTACTCTTTGCCTTTGCACTCAAAGGTAGTTTTGCTGTTGGCAAATAACAATTCTTAAATATTTTACTCACAAATTTGATGAATTTTTCTGAAGTTATCATTTCTTTGCCATTAGTTTCTACCGGTGTCTCTATCTTCATACACCACGTGTATGGGACAGTAGATTTATATAAAAAATACCTATTTCATATTTTTGAGTTAAACCAAATATTGAGTGTGTGTCGCCTTCCGAGTACAAAGAGTTAAGCCGCTTGCATTCGGAGAGATTATTAAAAAATTTTAAATGTCGCTTTAAAAAGGACAGTCGAATGCAAAAGGTTAATACATATAAATTCACAACTACTGACATTTACTATTGACAATATATATTCATAATTAATGTTTGCATAATGTATACTGTTCGTAATAGTAATAAACACATGAGAAGGTTTTGAAGTCAAATTATGTCATTTGTTAGAATTTGCGGAAGTGATTGTTGGACACTCATTTGGTATTCTGAGATTGTACAGTTGGATGCATTAGAAATTTAAATTTTGTTCCTCATTTTGGGTCATACCACGGGAGGAAATTATCCAGTGGAGTGGATAAGCAGTAAACGTCCTGGTAATGGATAATGCTTCAGCATTCTGTACGCGAAATTCGGACAATTAAATCGAATGACGTTGAGTAACAAAATTTTTAGACTAATAAATGCAATAGCTAATGTAAACTATAGTTACTGCTATAAACTCTTAGACATGTATTCGTTATCATTTATGTACGTATGCCATTTATTTAGCGAAACAAATCTGTTTCATGTGAACATATGAACGTATGTATGATATAAACGTATGATATTCATTATGAACGCAATACCTCTTTCGAGTGAAATATTTGTTTGAAGCATTGTTTTCTATTATAAAAATCGGTAGGTAATTCAGGTAGACTGTTTTAAATGCATCCTTATACCGAATGTTCTTACGAATGTGAATTGATGTATATATTTCTAATTTTCTTTTTTTTTATATTGAAATAATAACGTATTTTTTAGGACACTATACGATAGTTCGATTAAGCACGTGCCAATGGGTGCCTTCGCAGCGTATCCCGAAATTCGCATTTTGTAAGTTTTCAGCAATTTTATCATTATTGCATAATTTTTTTAAGATTGAGTGTACTGTATGTGAAGTTTCATATTTGGAAATTTGGTAGACATTTTACTACCTTTTATTCGAAAATTCTTGCAATCAACAGTTCCAAAAATCTAAATTTTTAAATCATCAAGTTTTAAAATTTTCAAATTACCACATTTTTATATATTCAACTTCAAATTCCCAAATTTTCGAATTACAAATTCGCAGCTTGTCATATCTACCCAGTATTTAATTTTCGAAATTTACAACTATTCAAGTTTTCAAGTTAACATTCTCAAATGACTAAATTTCTAAATTCCTGTATTTTCTATTTTTCACAAATCTGAATCTTATTTTCAAATTCTAAAATTTCCAAATCCCCAAATTCCCAAACGCTAATTCAAAAATTCCTATACTCCACATACTGGCTCTGATGTACTCCCTTGCATACAACATTCACGGATAACAAAAAAATATTTTCCTTTTAGGTATCTCGACAGCACTGGTATAAGTGTAATAGATAAAGGCGCTTTCACTAATTTAACCAAATTAATCTGGCTGTGAGTATGAATAATTGAATCTTTCAAAAAAAATGACACGAGTAAGGACAATTTAGAGATAAAGGATAACATATCTAACGTATAATTTGTGAACAGAGCTTTGGACCATAATGAGATCAGGGAATTACTACCAGGACACTTTGCTGGTTTAATTAACTTGGAATCTCTCAGAGCAAATAAGAACAAAATCGCTGTGGCAGACTTCTCAGATTTAGAAGGAAGCAATACTCTGCAGTTTATGTAAGTATCTTGATTTAAGTTTGAATCTAGTGCATTGTATCTTGTATCTTGATCCAATTACTACCTATTAGGTCTAGCACATTGTATCTTGGTTTAATATATTGTTTCTTGTATTCTAACCTAGTATATTGTATTCAGATATGGTTTCTTGATCTTGTATATTGTATTTAGATATGGTTTTTTGATCTAGTATATTGTACTTAGATATTGTTTTTTGTATTTTCAATTTTGATCTAGTATAATATACAAAAACTATCGAAACATTAAGTTCTACACACTACAAAATTGTGTCTATACATCGATTATTTTTTTAATTTTATTTTTTTTCAAGAGGTGTTTCTCAACAGGTACCACTACATTGTTCAAACAAAATTAATTTTTAACGAAAGTAATAGCGACATCAAATTTGACCTCATTTTGTATTCTTTTTCGAATTTAATTCATAAATATATTTCCATACGTAATAACCTTTCAAATATTTTGCATGTTCATAGAAATTTAAACGAAAACCAATTGACTTCGAAAACACTGAAATTGCCATATTTACCGGCGCTAAATGAAATGTAAGTTTTATATTCCAGTTTCTTACTAAGGACTCTTTAGTATTCGGTACTAGTTCGGTAATATTTTAGATTACTGGATGAAAATAATTTTGAATCGATACCTGACACGCTGTTCGCTGGATGCCCAGCATTACAATTACTGTACGTACGTAAGTAAATCGAAACAGAAATTGAACTCTCATATCTAACACAATCATTTATCATCAATATTATTTACTAAACTTTCTTTATTTACTAAAAGAAAATTTGCCTTAGAATGTTTTGTACTATTAAGAACGGAGAAAAGTTTGAATTAACTGTAATATTTTTTTTAATTGATTGAATTTGAAAACATTTCATAACTAGTGAATATTGAATACTTGAATAAATTTATAATGCAAGTTACAATTAGTCTGAGTGTTTGATGTCTGAGTTTGAATTAATCTGAATCATTGTTAATCCTATGTGTAGAAATAGGATACATTAGAGTTTTAATTCATATAACATTTTATTAGTATGAGAGCTAAAGCTTGATTTATAGAACATAAATTAATTGCTGTTTTAAGTTCGTTGTTGGTTTTGAAGTTCTAATTCGGAAAAAAAACGAAATCACAAGGTCTGAGAAATATATTCTCATATTCGTCTTGTAAGAAATCTTCAAACAATTACCATATTCTTTTCTCAAATCTCCAATTCATTTTTTAATTGGTCTAAACTTGCATCCTTCACATCTTTCTTATTTTTCCTTTATTTCTCTGTATCTTTATATATTATTTTTATTTTTTATTCTTAACAATATAACTATATATTTTAATATAATACAAAAGGAGTAGATACATCTTGACAAAGGTATAAAAATACATGCATCATTACCAACAAACATATGGTTATTCTATCACAAATTTGTTATTAAATTTCACATAAATACAAGAGTAGTTAATAAATTTCACAATCACGGAATGGAGTTTATTTCTGATAGCAAATCTGCGTAATCCTAATAGTAGCTAATTAATCTTACACACTGAATGTTCAGGAGTATGCAGAAGAACAAGATAAAGACAATCGAGGCAGATACCTTCCGAAATCTGGAGCAACTGATCGAACTGTAAGTTCTTGGACCCAGTACAACAATTCGCCACGTAAACACCGAAATTACGTCCGATTATTTATCGTTTCAACGCCTAAAACTTGCCCTTTCAGTAATTTGGCGTTCAACAACATAACGACCGTCCCGTTGAATGTGTTCCAGCCGTTAAAAAATCTGACCAGGCTGTAAGTATATACGAGAGGTACACGAGTATTCGCATAAATTGTAACGTTACACGTCTTAAGCTACGCGCGTGCTTCCAACATATTTACCCGATATTTACCGTCGAACAAGCCGTTAGAAAAGCAAACGAGAGAAACGTCACGTATAACCCCGGTGTTAAAACTTTTATTTATTGTGCCAGCACGTACGAAAATAAGGCGGATACAAATGGACGCGTCATAACCATGTTTCATGCCAGGATTAAGCGAATCCGAGAAGAATTACCGCGATTTATTTAAACCCTGTCGATATTTTTTTCGATCGTTAACGCAGATACTTGTAAGGAATCGGGAAAAAGAAACAATAGGGTGTGATGTTATGAAATAAGACTGAATTACAAAATTTTCTTTTGGGGGTTTTCAAGAAGTTTAGATTTTGCAAGTGTGGGAATCTAAGGATATGGAGATTTAGTAATTTGGCAATCCAGCAATTTTGGGATCTAAGAATTTGGGGATATAGGGATTTAAAGATGCTAGAATTTGGGGATTTAGGGATTTGGAGATGTAGAAATTGGGGGATGTAGAGATTTAGAGATGTAAGCATTTGAAGATATAGAGATTTGGAGACGTGGGAATTTAGGGACGTATGAATTTGGAGAATGGAGAGATTTGGAAATGTAGTAATTTGGGGACATAGGGATTTGGGGATATACCGATTTGGGGACGTAGGGATTTGGGGACATACCGATTTGGGTATGTAAGAATTTGACAATGGAGGGATTTGGGGACGTAGGAATTTGGGAATGTAGAAATTTGGGGATATAGGGATTTGGAGTTGTAGTAATTTGGGGATATAGGGATTTGGAATTGTAGTAATTTGGAGATGTAGAGATTTGACGATGTAGGAATTTGAAAATGTGGGAATTGGAGGATGTTGGGATTTGAGGATGTAGAAATTTGGATATGTAGGAATTTGGGAATATAGGAATTTGGGGATGCAGATATTTGCGAATGTAGAAATTTGGGGATATAGGGATTTGGAGTTGTAGTAATTTGGGGATATAGGAATTTGGAATTGTAGTAATTTGGGGATGTAGAGATTTGACGATGTAGGAATTTGAAAATGTGGGAATTGGAGGATGTTGGGATTTGAGGATGTAGAAATTTGGAGATGTAGGAATTTGGGAATATAGGAATTTGGGGATGCAGATATTTGCGAATGTAGAAATTTGGGGATATAGGGATTTGGAGTTGTAGTAATTTGGAATTGTAGTAATTTGGGGATGTAGAGGTTTGACGATGTAGGAATTTGAAAATGTGGGAATCGGAGGATGTTGGGATTTGAGGATGTAGAAATTTGGATATGTAGGAATTTGGGAATATAGGAATTTGGGGATGCAGATATTTGCAAATGTAGAAATTTGGGGATATAGGGATTTGGAGTTGTAGTAATTTGGGGATATAGGAATTTGGAATTGTAGTAATTTGGGGATGTAGAGATTTGACGATGTAGGAATTTGAAAATGTGGGAATTGGAGGATGTTGGGATTTGAGGATGTAGAAATTTGGATATGTAGGAATGTGGAAATATAGAGATTTTGGGATGCAGGGATTTGGTGATGTAGAAGTTTAGGCATGAAATAATTTGAAGATGTAGAATGTACAGATATAGGAATTTGTAGATGTAGACATCTACCAGTGTACGAATTACAATATTTATGAATTTAGAAACCTGAAAATATGGGGGTTCAGAGATTTAGAGACGCATAAATTAGGAAATATAGAAATTCCAGAATTTAGGCACTTTGGAAGGAAAATAGTCTTTTGTGTCAGTGACAGATTTGGTACACGAAAAGCAAGAAACGCAAAAATTCAACTACTTACTGAAAAGGCTACTACCCCCAGTTACTGACATAATGTAGACGCTTCGTTAGACCTGATATTGTCAGTATTATTTTCTTATACAGATAATAAGCAATGTTTCTAATCGTTATATTAAATTTTGCTAATAGTAATTTACTAATAATCCAATATTTTCTAACACAATTCTCAAATGTTTCGACGGTTACAGACAATTGGGTTACAATGGTCTGCACAATTTACCGATGGCGGTGCTGAGTCCTTTGACAAAACTTTACTCCCTGTGAGTTTTGTGAAAAATTTTCTTCGATAATTTCTGTTTTAGGTAAATGATTTTTTATTAGAGTGTAACTTTCAGTGACCTCGAGGGCATCAATTTGGACATTCTGGAGAAAAACGCGTTCGACGTATTCAGGCAATTGGACTTTGTGTAAGTAGATTAGACTGGAATGTGTTAGACAGATTTCTTTTGGTAATTTGCTTGATGTCTCCGAAATACAAAGTGTAGGCCTTTAAACGTGTTTTTTAATTTTCGATTTTAAAAAATATATGAACTTATTGTTAGTCAAACTTATTGTTTGAATTCATGGAAATTCACTATTAACTTTTGGAAGTATTGAATGAAAATTTCTAAATTTATAATGCATTAAGTTTTGGTATCTTCTAATTTCCATATTTTCAAATTTAAAAATTCCTAAATTATAAAATTTCCATCTCGAGTTCTCTAATTTTTATATTTGTAAGCTCTGAAATGTCTAAGTTCAAGAACTTTCACCTCAAATTCCCTAATTTCCAAGTTTCCAAACTTTCAAATTCCAAAATTTCTAAATTACAGAATTTCCATGTCAAATTCCCTAATTTTCAAATTTTCCAATTTCAATATTCCTAAATTCCGAAATTTCGTTCTCCAATTCCCGATTTTCCTAATTCTAAATTACCAAATTTTTAAATTCCTAAGTTCTGAAATTTCCATCTCAAATTCTTTAATTTCCAAATTTTCAAATGTTTAAATACCCATACATTAACACATCTCCATTTAATAACAAACACCGTTTCAGGTATTTCAAGAAGTTTCACTACTGCGCAACCTACGCGCCGAAAGCAAAACGGTGTAGACCTACCAGTGACGGTAAGAGAATTTAATTAGAGAAAAAAATAATATAATTTTTCTTACCTAGCATAATTATTATGTAGTTTTCGATGACTATGCTCATTTACTTGACCCACAAGCAACACACATTCCTTGCTTGACGATGATTGATTCGAACGTCGCGGTTTGTGAATAAAAAGAATTCAAAGAGTTACGATTTATTACTGTTATTCACTTACATGGCTTCTGCGTTCATTCTGTTCTCGGTTAACATATATTATAGCTTTGTTATTAATTCGTCAAATACTTTACTTAATGAAGCATCTATCAGGTCATCAAGAATGAAATTTGTAGTTAATATTATTTGATAGCTACATTGACATTGGCTTAATATTTTAGTGTTCTTTTTTTTCTTGGAAAGTTAGTTTTGACTGACGTACTTAACAAATAAATCATAATGTAAGAGATTAATTTTTCGCACAGTCTGCAATGCCATAGTTCCACATAAAAATTCATACTTCGTATAAGACGTTTACAGAGACACATCTTGTCTATTTAAAAAAATCATTGTAAACTATGAAAAATATTTTAAAACGTTTTTCAAAAATTAAATTCGTGCTATTACATACATCCTTCTGCACTAATACATAATTTCTATGTACGTGTTTATTATCGAGTTATTTGTTAATTAATTCTTTCTCAGGTGTTTCATCATTGTCACATTTACTCGACAAGACTTTACTACGAGCAGCAGTGTGGGTAATATCATGCGTTACTTGTATGGGCAATGTGTTGGTTCTTTGGGGAAGAATCACCGCCAAGGATGAGAATCGTGTACTAACGATTATCATTAGGAATTTGGCTGGTTAGAGTGCTAAGTATATTTCTGATATGTTTAATCTCTGTATCTTTGCATAATTTTCAGCAATTTATTTGCAAGTGGCTTTTTCATACACAAAAATATTAATTTACCGATTTAGTGATTTCTTTCTTACTTTTAGTGGTTCAATAATGATTATCTTTGTAACTGCAAATTGCTTAGTTTTGATCTTTCGTTTAAAAGCTTTGTCAGAATTTGTTAGACAAAATTTGTTATAAATTACAATTGACAAAATATCTACGCAAGATTTACAGAGGTATATAAAATATTTCTACATACACTTACTTTTAGTGTACAACAGTATTATCACACGTGTATGATATTATAAATAACTGTAGAACAACTGTACACCTTATAGAACAAGGTTGTACATATATTTGTATAACAAGAATAGTCAAAGGTTAGAAAGCTAAATATAAAAACGGATAACGATAGCAATGTCGATCATAAATCGTTCGATTTCTATAAATATTGTATAAGAATCTAATCATTCCACAGTATCCGACATGTTGATGGGGATATATCTATTGATAATCGCCCTGGCTGATATGATATTCCGCGACAATTACAACCAAGTTGCCAGTTCATGGATGTCTTCTTGGTCATGTACACTCGTGGGGATCTTGGCAATGACATCTTTGGAGGTATGCCATATCTGCTATTGTCTTCTATTAACACATATATCATAATATATGAATTTTATTTAATTTTATGATGTCTAATGATAAATCATAATACTCCATCTTTCTTTCAATTTTGATCTTAATCGTATCAAGCTAAACAGATACAACTGAACTCCTACTATTTAATGTTTGCTGATTTAATTAATTCATCAAATATGATAAATTATATGCTTTTTTATTCAACTCTTCATTGTCTGTTGCTATTGTTCAACTTAGACCTGAGGTGGATAATTAAAAAAAAGAAATTATCACAATTAACCCCTTTGATGTACTATGACGAGTCTCAGTAGACACACTCACAGCTTAAATGTGACAAATCTTATTAAAATATTTAATACTCTTCAACTTGAAATTTAGGTTGATTAGAAATTGAAATAATAATTTGTATAGCCAAGGATCGCTGAATATAAAATTCTCTTTGTTTTAATATTACAGCTATGAGTAGCTTTGACTAACTCATCTAACAAATAAATTGTACGGCAAGGGGTTAATATTTTAAAACGAATTCAATCCCTATTAAAATGTTGTAAATATATAATATCTGTGAGGCAAAATGATCATCATACCATTCCGCAATCTGGATATTTTTAAATTACCAAATTTTCAAATTTCCATATTTATAAAATTCCCAAATCCTTAAATTCTCAAGTATCCACATTTGTTGCTCATCAGAATGTCAATCCCCAAAATTCAAACTCCCAAATTCCTAAATTCTCAAGTATCCACATTGGTAACTCATCAGAATATCGATTCCCCAAATTCAAACTCCCAAATCCCTAAATTTTCAAATGTTCACATTTCTATACCGTCCAAACACCGAATTTCCCAAAATGAAACTCCTGCCTTCCCAAAAATTAAATTCCTAATTATAATAAATTTCTAAGCGATCACACTGTTATATTACCTATGTCTACGAATAAATAGAGTACTTTATTCGCAGCGGTCTACTAATGCTCGTAAAGTGTGCATTTCACCGTAAACTTTCCATAGTAATAGAGCACTAACTCGATCGAAGTAGATATTTGTTAAAAGGTCGACGGTTCGTTAACACGGTGAAATAAAATCAACTTGTCAAGGTTTCAGTATTGATCCTGTCGTTCATGTCCCTGGAGCGATATATGCTAATCGCGGCACCACTCAAAGGTCACCGTACAATGACACCGCAAACGGCATCCGCGTCAATGATCATCATTTGGATCATAGGAATTACTCTTGCTCTTGTACCAGGTTCGTCTCTTCTTATTTCTCGACCAACCACGGCTGTATGAATTCTGATAATATCTAATAAGCTGTCAAGATGTTCAGCTACCTGTTAACCCGTCAGTTATGATAACGTAATCTGAACTCGACTGCCCTGCCTTCTTTTATTGCTTCGCGAATCACTCCAACCTTTGTTCCTCGACTGTGCAACTGTCGATTTTCATTTCTCGATTCAAGGTTGTAACAAGACGTCGAGCTTGCGACGTTAAGGGTCAACTCTGGTATTCGATATACTCTAGTATACTCCAGTATTCCGAGTAGGATTTTTAGTGATTCTGGCGGAAAAGTAATAAGCTTCGGCAATCCTTGTTTATTTGAAGCTGGAAGAGACAAGGTTAGTAATTTGATTTCTAAAAATGTACAAAAATGCGACATTGCCAGGATTTTAAAGCCGAGAAGCAATATTCTGACACAATTTCTTTTGTGTCTTCGTAAAATAAAGTTGATTATTGGATGAGGAATATATGATGCATCATTCGCACACTGCCATCGTCGTTCTTGTAGCGTACTATAAACAGCTGCACCTAGTTGCAGCTGAATTTTGCTTTATTTTCTTATGCATATATACATTCAGCTTTAATGTGGATATTAATTGAACGCGGAACTTGATGCAATCGATTTATGACTATTTAACTGAACAATGAAAAAGGAAAATTACATGTTGCTTAATTAGTTTCTATGACTGCTCTATATAACGAAAAGAAAGAAGTAGGTTCTTCTTTCTTTCGTCTTGAGACGTCCTTTCAATAGATATACACATATGTATACATATATACATACATAACAGTATATAAGCACATACCAGTATATACACATTATACACATACACTTGTATACGGAAGATATACACATATTAATTTGAAACCCATCATAGGAACCGATTTTTTAAAGACTTATATAAGAGCTTTTATCTGTAATTAATTACTTGTTAATTGAGTACAGGAATGAAATTTTGAAGAAATAAACATAGGATATGCCTCATTCATTTATCAAAAGGATGATAACACTTTCATCTTTTTCTTATGACAGAAAAATAGATTTTGTTCGTGTTTTTCACGTTCCAAGTCACTGTGGATTGGAGCTTATCAATTTTTCACTAGAAACCCTGAAAATTTTCGAAAATAATATTCGGAGTAATGGGTTACCAGAGTTAACTCTTAAATATTGTTTAAACCTTGCTTTATTTTTCGAGATAGTTATAAAAATAATGTTGTTATTATAATATTTGAGATTAATATTTTTATCGTTGTTGTTTTCGTTTCGGTAATCTAATTTCAACTCGGAAAGTGATTCACTGGCGAAGCAGTACGAGGTTTTACGGCGTAAATGGAATGTGTTTCCCTCTGCACATTGACGATCCGTATTTAATTGGATGGGAATATTCAGCATTCATCTTCTTGGGATTGAATCTTACCGGGTACGTTGTAATGTATTTACACGTTAATTGCCACGGTTGTTAAAATAATGAGTTATGAACGTCGACTTCATTATGGTATTTCTAAATTTACAAATTTCTATGTACCTAAACTTCTGAGTTCAGATATCCTCGGATTAGAATGTTTCGAATTCCTAAATTTCCAAATTCACAAATTTTCAAGTTTTCAAATTTTCCAATTTTTTTACAGTTTTGAGTTTCTTAATTTCCAATTTTTCTAAACTATTCAATTTCTTAAATTTCTCATATCCTCCACTTTTTTAAATCCCAAATCCCTAAATTCCCACATTTTCAAATTCCTAAATTTCTAAATTTGAAAATTCCTACATCCCCAAATTTTCCTATTTGGAAATTCCTAAATTCCCGAGTTCCCAAATTTTTTAATTTCCGCATTCTTAAATTGCAACACATTCAGATTTCCAAATTTCTATATTATCGAGTGTTAAAATTTCCAGATTTCCAAATTCTTATATTCTCAAGTGTCAAAATTTCCAGATTTCCTAATTCCTATATTTTCAAGTGTCAAAATTCCCAGATTCCAAAATTCCCAATCTTCCAAATTCCTAAATTTCCGTATTTCTAAATACCTCATTTCTCATATATTCAAATTTCCAAATTCTGAAACTCCCATATTCCCAAATTTCCCCGCAAGTTCCAAAATCCCAACAAATCCCCCTAATCAAGTTTCAAAATCATTGACTTCAAAACCCGGAAAAAATATGCTTCACCGTCCCTCGTTAGTACTCCACGAGTACGTAAGATACCATAACTTAGAACTTGAATAAGTAACTGATGGGATCCTATGTAATTATTATAGTTTCCAGATGTCTTACTACATATATCCATTTCCACCGTGGCAGTTAACATGTTAATGTGCACAGAGTGCTTGACTACGATCCACTGATATATAATTAACTCCAAACTAAGCATAAAATCGTGTAATTTATAGGTTGATAACGATTGGATACGTTTATGCGGGCATGTTTGTAAGCATTTGGAAAACAAGACACGCTTGTTCCTTGTCTGTTGGCGATTCAGAATTTGCCTTAAGGTTTTTCTTGATCGTATTAACGGACGCGGCTTGTTGGGCACCGATCATCATTCTCAAGATTAGAGCTATGATGAATTATCCTATTCCAGGTGAGCGTTGAAAACTAACGGATTTCACGGTGAACTCATTTTTCGTTTGTTTCTATGCTTAAAACCAATCTGTTCAACTTTCAACAAGTTAATTTATTTTATTCGGTGATATGATTGTAATAGGATATGTACCTTATAAACCTACCGGCGTATAATGCTCACTTATTTTCAAATTAACAAAGTCAAGAAATAAATAAATAATCAAATACATAAATTCCTTATCTTGATTAAATTATATTTAGATACTATTAATTGCATATATTATTTATATTTTCTTCCGAGTAAAATCGATCTCATATTTCTAATAAGTTAATAGGTTTAGCTTAAAATGTTTAAGAATGGCTTTTTAAACATTTTATACGAAAGGGATTACTGTTCTTGACAAGGAGAGAAGAACTTCGGTGTTCAAAGCAATTTTAAACGAAACAATCATAGGTATTTTGAATAATAATTTTGATGGTATTAATATAATATGCTTATGTTTTAGCGGATCTTCATGCCTGGGTGGTGGTTTTCATACTTCCTGTAAACAGCGCAGTTAATCCGTTATTATACACATTTACCACCCCTAAATTTCGAGAAAGATTAAGCGATGGATGGTTTGGAAAAGTACGCGATTATGTGACCAGGAAACCTTCTACCGAAAGTATGTATATTTAGTACATAACATCTATAAAAATTCTACATAATTTTACTTCCTCTTCCTAAAATTTTATTGCACGTTTAAAATTAACTTGACCAATTTTCTGCAATCTCCTGTAACTTCCTCCTATTCCTGTTTATCAAACGCTGCTATTGATTTCACTGTTTAAATTTGTCTTATAGAACTGAAACTTTCTATCTTCGATAAGATTCTGCTATTCACCAAATATTGTTACAGACTCTCACGGATCCACGTCGATGAGCAGCAAAAATATAATGCTGTCTCTATCAAGCGGAAATAACTGCGAAAATAAGATACCTCCCCTGCTTACATTCAACAGCGAGAAGAACAAGGCTCAGAAACATGACCATATTTCATAAATGTCATAGAATTAGTTTTTTGTTGCTCAGAAATTCGAAAGGGCAATCTTGTTAATAGAGATTAACAAGATTAACTAGATTAAAAATTACGCTTTTCAACTCGTTACCCAAAAATTACGTAAATCAAATTAAGATTAGAACTTTAGATAGATAAGTTTTACATATGATATTAGTATACGAATACTCTACTGTTACAGTATTATATATTATATCCAGACAATTATCGTAAGAGAAACATTCTTTCATAGTTGAATAAAATTTGTGATAAACGATTACACTGAATATATCTACGTTCAAGTCTATTTATCTCACAGACGTAAATATAAAAATGAACCTCTGTTAAATCGTTCTGACAGACAAATTGCATTAACATAACTGAATAAAGTTCGCAATCATCAGTTACACAAATTCGCCGTCCCTATGATTGATTCAACTCATGGACAAATGTATACACTTACGTGTAACGTTTGATTTCTCGAAAATTAATTAAAGAAAGCAAGCAAACATTCCGCGAACATTACATAATGTATCTGCCGAAGGAACACAGTGAAACTTTACGTAAATCCTGATACCTCGTCAATTATTTCCGTAGAAAAATAACTGTTTGGAAACGTGAACCATTAATAATCCAATCAACTTAGACATCGGCTGAATATCTCGTAATGATTATCTTCTATTAAACTCATCGAAATCATGTTTCATATGAATGCAGTCGAAAGTGAAGTTTTATTGTGTAGGTGATATTGAGACGTTGCAGATTCGGAAGGGTTGTAATTTCCGAATTTCATAATTTCTAAATATATAGATTTTTAGTGTTCTAGTTTATGAATTCCTAGATCTGTACATTTTCTAATTATTCAGATTCGTAAATTTTTTTGAGAAATCCCAAATTTCCAAATTTTCTAGTTGTTATTTTCAAATATTCATATTTTCCAATTTTCAAGTTCTAAAATTTCCATATTCTCAAATTTTCACGCTCCAAAATTTCCATATTCTCAAATTTTTACACACCGAAATTTCTATATTTACAAATTCGCACATGCATAAATTTCTATACTCTCCACACGCCTGAATTTTCATATTCTCAAATTCTCACACACCAATATTTCTATATTCTCGAATTCCCACATGTTAAAATATTTATCTTCTCAAATACTCACGTATGAATTCCTATATTCTCAAATTCCCACACTCCAAAATTTCTATATTCTCAAATTTCCACACATCAAAATTTCTATATTCTCAATTTCCAATATATCAAAGTTTTCATATTCTCAAACTGCCACATGCCAAAATTTTCATATTCCTAAACAGCGAAATTCGAAGTTTCAAAATATCGAAATCCTCAAAATCTCAAGTTTCCAACTTCCAAAGCTATGAAATCTAAAAACTGAAATATCATGCATCCCCAGCACCTGTTCATGAGTCAATGCCCGTGACAGGCACTTGATCCGCGCATTCCTAATCTACATTGACAACATCTCAGATGCGCATGTCTACATTTGAACGTCTACGCATTGACAATTCTATTATCTATTCCTGAATACCTGCTCATCCCTATGTATGACATTTACTAAATAACCAAGGTAGAACATGTCCCATGTGTCATCGATCTTACACGCGTGATCTCAATCTGTCGAACGATAGAATAATAACGATAAAATGTTGACGTTGCACATTTTACGACTTAATTGACCGGAATGATGGGTCAAGGATAGTTAGTGATTTTGCACGATTCCTTTTATAGAAGCCCCCGATGATTTTACAACCCGTAACATTCCTTCCGAAGCTCTCGATGGCTTGTTGCAATTCGGAGAGACGACGGTTGTGCCGATTCTACCTTGTCCCTGTGCCGTACAATAAATTACTACTCCTAACGAAGAAGGTTGCGAGAACGCGTTCGAAAAATTTATAGCACCCGTTTCTGATCTATCGGCAGATCGTGTTGCACGATGTTACATCGTTACAGGGAGAGTTACCCCTCGGGTCAACCTCGCTCGTACAATTTTCTTCTTGCGCAACGAAGAATAACCGGCTCGCTTTTTGTCAAGACGCGCCTTAACTGGCCGCTGGCTGCTTATTTCGGCACTCGATCAACGTAAATAACTTCACGTCGTATATTACCGACGTCTCTGGATTGCCTAATTAAGTCAATGGACAACGCGTTTAAGGTACTAGATCGGAAGTGAATTCGAACGGTGCTACCGAGTATTTTAACCCCTTACTTTCGATGTGTTAAAGGAAAGAAATTCGGATTAGATTATTTTTATGTAACTCGATGTAATGATTCGAGATAAATATTTTGTAAGTAGACAGCGTTAGTGATAGTACGACAATGACATTAAGTTCAAAAAAGTTCATCAAATTTTTCAAATAGTTTTCGGAGTTGCACCTTGGAAATTTTAGTGCAAAGGGTTAGCAATCTTCTGCTGCACAGTTTCCTTATAACTTCACTAGAAATAGACGTAGCGTACCGTAAGCACGGGAAAATTGAAAAATGTGGCGGCACAAATTAAAATGGCAATTTCATATTACAATTAAATGGTTTTACGACCGGGAGAATCGATATTCGACTACGTTACGGCCGAACATAAATTACTATACTGGCCGCAGGAAAAAAAGGAACGCATCGTTGCACTCTACGATTCGCCGCCACGTGGGCCGACTCTTACACGATATAATGTATAATTTATGGTAGATGGCCAATGGGAGGATACCGTTAAGGGGCCTCGATACTTCCTGCAAGACAGTTCGCTTTTTCGGACTGATTTTTCTTTCGTTTAGCGTCAACAGTGTGATTTTCAATATTTAATTACATAATCGATCACGGTGCAGGCATCATTAATGCACAAGAGTGTTGGTGTCGATGCTACACAATGATAGATTCGATTTTTCTTTTGTGATTTCCGTCACAGGTGATACACTAATTTTTGGAAGAAATTATCTTGAAGAGAAATATTTGTATTCGTTTCAATGTCAAGAAACAGAATCTAATTTAACACTAAACCGGTGTATAATGTAGATTTTGAAATTAAAAATGAAGTTGAAAATAGACAGAAAATAAACATTGTCTCAAATTTTGTAAGTTAAAATGAAAAACTTGTAGAAGGTTCATTTGATATTTTTGGTAGCTTTAGAGTTAATCAAACATATTTTAAAATATATAACAGTATTAGTTTTCTTTTTTCTAATAAAAAAATAGTAACGCCATACTGTTACTCATAGACACGAATTAAGTTCTATACACAAAGTCAACTGTCAAAATTAATTTTTTTATATTAAATTCAAAATAGAAAACACGTCTGTACAAAGCATCCATATGTTCCAAAGTTGGAATAAAAGTAAAATGAAAGGGATTATAAAATCATAAGTAAAATCATAGGCGATACAGCGCTCTTACACCTCGAAACTTTAAGCAGACATGCAATTAGAGTCAGATTACATCAGGCGAAAGTGTTCAGGCTGTCGGTAAATCGATAAAAATCCATAACACCGAGGTGCAAAATATTTGTGTTTTAAAATCGTGGACGAATAAGCATGCAAATGGACCTGCAATGCGTCGTCCTTGATCCGCAGTAGGTGGGTAAGTTGGTGCATGTAACCGAGAAAATAAAGGATGCACATTCAGGCATCGTTGAGAAACAGCAAGCTGTACACAGTGTACTTGGATCCGTGGGATGATTCAATGATTCCATTTGAAACGGCCAGAGAAATCGTTTTCTCATATAGAAAAATAAGAACAGACCATCTTTTCCGTGTTGCAAAAGTTCGTACGATGCGGGTACAACGATTCATCAAAAATAAAATTTGTATCGGGGTTAATCGAGTAAACTCGGTAATCGAAGATCGAAATTTTTGAAGTAAATGATAACTGCAGTTTAAATTTACTTATGTAACAAATTGCATGCGGGCTCGAATCGGTAGATTCATTTTTCAAGCAAAAGCGATAGAAGGAAGGCGGTGCACGTTCCAGGCATAGAAATAAGGTTTCGATTGAATCTCGAGTAATTCCTCCATTTCTTTGCGCAGCAATTCGCAGACGCGATCGTACACGATGTAGGTGGCTTCTTCAGGGTCGAATTCGCGGAGAAGCTTTGCTGAATACGGATGAGATGATTCATAGAAACGCGTTTTCGTGCGTGCTGTTCGCTTTTTGAATCGATAATGGCCAGTTCGGTATACACGGAACGCGTGCTAGCTACACCGGCACGCTCATTATCTTGCAAATTAATTCCTTTCTAACGCGCATGGAAAAATGCGTGTATGTACCATGGGCATCCATCGCGCGAGTACGAGGATCGTAAGTGTAAGAAGTTATTTTCTTCGCCATTTTTCGGCTGCCGAGCGTTCAGAATACGCATGCAACGGCAACATTCATGAACCTGCTTCATGAACTTTCTTGAAGGATGCTGGCACAATATGTGTACGTTTGGTTCCATTCCTTTGATTTCATGCATCATTTCAAAAGGCACGATTTGTGATTCATGAATTCTTTTCAAATATCTATGATAAACAGTTAAATAATTTGAATTTAAAACTGCGCTAGCTATCACCATGACTGGAGTGAGTAAATATTTCATAAAAGAAGTCGCCCACGGTGAAAACTGCACAATGCTCATTCTGGCAAACAGAACATTGAATAAAATAGAATTAACAGTTTCTAGTTTCATAATATTGTATCACTTGTACAGATGAAAATTAGAAGATGCTTTTGCTTATTTAAAATATTTACAATTCTAATATGATGGAACTTGACTTATAATAATTCAAAATATGTATACAAAAATTGTTTCGTTGTTCAATATGTATAAAAATGGTTTCACTAATCTTTGTAAAGACACGCGTATACTAATTGAACTTCACGTTACAACATAAACACGCGAAAAATAAGAAACATTGATAAATTTTGCAATTAAATCGATAAAAAAAATCGTAAATTGTTCAGTCAAGAATCCAAGCTGTTTTTCTTCATTTGAATTAGTTTCACTTTTTGCTAATAGGTCAGGTTTTCTTGCAAAAGAGAAGTCGAATAATAAGTACAAGAAATTACTGTTAATTCACCGAGTAGATTTATCATTCCGCATTTATAGCACTCCATTCCGCTTACATTCCACGCAATTATTAACTCTCGATAAAAGTTGCATTCGCATCGCAAGAAGCCACTTGAACAGATCAAGTTGCTCATTAGCGAAAGTAACTATCAACTTAACGCCGATACACCGTAAGTAGGATAAAAATATTAAGGTGTTGAAATAGGCCGAACGATGCTAGTATTTTGAGAT